CCTCAAACTTTACCCAATAAACTATCTTTGGTAACAAGTAAATAAAACCACATTAGTTTTTGGAAATACCTCAAAATAAAATTTTTAGAGCTCTCAAAAGTCAAAGCTGCAAAAGGCCCTTTTTTGACCTCTTGCGACATCGAAAATTTCAAAAGTTGAATAGCCCGGTCCTCGTATCACACCGCATGCAGCAAAAAATATTTTGTATTCTTAAAGTGTGTGATATATAAGGTGTATAAAATGCATTTCAATTTTGATATTCGTTTATTCAGAGGCTCGTCATAATTTATTTAAAAACACTCGTTGGACAGCTTTCTGAAATTGGTTAAAAGTACTCTTTCTTTCTCGGTTGATATTGCTCAAGTCCAGACCAGACCATTAAAAACTCCGCTTGATTTCTGCTAATAAGATGTTTGGCTGCAGAAAAATATAAAAACATCTTGCACTTATTGATTTTCTTCGCCGAGGTGACTTCGAATTTTTAGCGATATTGCAAGCGTGACAGCCGATTATGCAAATTAGTTCTTTGAGCAAACTCCGACCGTTTTATGTGAGTAGCTCAATAAATCTTAGATTTTAACCATTTTAAGTAGAAAACATAGTAGGACAGAGCTTTAAAACCACACCGATTAATACTTTAAGCATTTTAAAAGGCCAAAATTTGAAAAATTTTATTATCTCGTGACGAAAGACGTCAACAACAACGTATCGAATATCATAATTTGATTAGCGCTCGCAAACTCTTTTTTTAAAAATTTGGCTTCTGTTATTGGCTTACGCTATTCAAACCTGTACGAACTTTTCAAAATTAAACTACAGGATTCTATTTAGTGTAACCGGCGATTACAGCACACACTAAATTCACCGTGACCAGTGACTCTGTCACGTAATTCCATCGTGTAATTGTCCTGAATACTTCTCACGTCTAAATAAAGCAGCGATTTCTCGGATTTCTCGCTGAAAGGGAAAAAATTATATTTGGTCGTCACATCTGTCTGCATAACAGTCTCTGTTCATAAGTTTGAAGAGTTCTTGTAAAAAAAGATATCGCATTCGCATAACGGGTGGACGTCATAACTAGATTGCATAACTACTACACTCCGAAATCATTTCCTCCATTTTTGCAAGAGGTGCTGCATTTGTATCTTGCATTTTGAATGCGAGCTCAAAATGTTCGCATATGTCTCTTAGCATCTTGACTTTGAGACTAGACAACCTTGCTTCTCTTGCCAACGAGCACACATCATAGATATCAAACATGACTGGATGTTTCAATCTATCTCATCCATTACTGAGTTCCACGCCTCTCTCAAACACCCTTCGTCTACATCAGACGTGGATGCTTTTATCAAGTGGTCGTCTGCGTCGGTGGCATCATCCGATTCTTGTTGTATTTTAGATCGCTGTTTAAGGCACAATCTCGAGAAGAAACCCTGAATCTGTTGGATAACCACTCTGTTCTATCGAACATTCTCTCTCCATCTATTGTGCAAGCAGTTCGCATATCCTTTGCTACTTTCTCTGGGTTTGGTTTCTGCCAGTGCCTCATCCGATATTAAATTTTTTGTTTCAAGTACTGCCTGACGTTTTGCGAAAGCCGTTCACTTGCACCTCTCTTATGAAGAGCCCATCCCATGGGAAGCTTTGATGTACTTGTCAAGGGTTCTGTGGCCACTGCAACCAGTTCAGTCGAACTTTCACCCTCTAATGACAATGACTGAAAGTAATGAACCCACTACCACTTCACTTTGTCATAAAGACTTTAAGTCATGCTCGCAGGCACAGGACTTACATGATGAACCAGCTAGTTGATATGGAAGTCAAGGTCGGCCTGCGTCTTAAAATCTTCATCGCAACCAGGTTCAGGGCATTGATAGGAACTACCGTCGTTGCCATCATTGCTTTCTCCTGCTGATGCAGTTCGTCGAGCAGTGGTGGGGAAAAATGGAATCTCCTTCACCAGATCCGTCATTTTTTCTGTGGAAAAATTGCAATTTTAATTTTACCGAATAAACTTTCCAGACCCAACATTAAACGCTCTCCAAACGCGCAGGCCCTCTTGTGTAAGTTGCTGAAAGTGGCAATCTTGATGTCCGAGCCCTCGTAGAGATGATACTAGCTTACTGTTGTGATAGCAACCTGCTTCATCCGATCTTATAAGGGCCTTTTTTATTCCTGAATTTCGTAACTTTATGGTGACTAAGAGATTTTCTAGGACTGACAGCACTGAAAACCAGTCTTTTTTACAGCTGTTAAAAAGTTCTACGTATCAGGTTACTTCCAGGCTTTCCTCCTGTCTTACAACAACGCTACTCACATGCCAATTGATTTCCCTCTTGGTAAACCATTCTGCTTGCTTTTCCCGGAACTTCATCGCTATGAACTTCATTGTCCAGTCAACTATTATAAATGCTTCATCTCCCTCCAAAGTATCGACAATTTGCCGCTCGTACTGATCCTGGTTTCTGCTCTCAGGATATACACTCTCCATTCAAAGATCTTAGCGGCAGCATTTTTTGCTTTATACAGATAGTCTTCCGCTTGAAACCTACCCAATTGCATTGTGTACTCAGAAATAGCGCCTTTTACTTCTTCAAGAACACTCTTCAGCATCTCACAATCCTCACACTTCACGTTGTGACTGTGACTGCATACTTTCTGAACTTCAGTGTCACCAGCATGGCTCAGTGCAAAGACCCTACAGTGATCGGCACATTTGCTATCGTCCTCTTCGCAGTGATTACGGTATGTAGTCTTCAAATACAACTTGCTCTCCTGAAGCCTCTTGCGAACTTCTTTACACTAGTCCTTTTCTGCTCCAAAGCTTTCCAATTCGTCTATAATTTGGAGAAAATCCTTGAAACCATCCGCTCCCTCAGCTGCAGTATCGTGTAAACCTCTATATAACGCCATACATCTTAGAAATGGCCTTTGACTTTTGCACATTGACAGAATACCGGCTCTTTAGCCCTTTGGAATCGCTACCAGGGTGTGTCGGATACTGGCACGCTGAACTTTGGCGCCAGAACTTCCCATAAGTGTGCCTATGCTTTGCGCAGACCCACATTTTGCCATAACTGAGTCTTCTACATCGAACAGGCCAGCCCTTGCAAAGATAAGCTCTCCTTCTGTGAAACTCTCTTTTGACAAATGGATTAAGCAGATATGACTCTTTATTGAGTCAGTACTCTGAGGCAAGTTAAACAAACCGGAAACTCCTCGTGAGTCTTCGAGCGAAGTTTCTGAAGAACGCGACTGAAAACAGGACTTCTTTTGGCGAATACCGCTTCAAGAATTTAGTGTTATTAATCCCAAGCAAACAAGTACCGAAAGAGACATATGAATTACAGCTAATACAATTACGCACTTTACAGTATAGATATAGCTAATTGTTGGAAAAATGAGGTCACAAGTAATGTAATAATTTATTTCCTCAAAAATCGCGGGGTCCTTTTCCACAAGAACTCCCTAGAGTTCTGAATAGAAACTTTCAAAGACAGGTGTGCAGACAAAATTTCTCTTATTCTTGCCGACCAGAATTTGGATCCAAAAGGCGATGTTATCGCTGCTTTATTAAGAAGGGAGAAGCAATTGAGGATAATTACACATGTACAATTGAATTATGTGACAGTGGTCACGGTGTATTTCAGTGTGTGCTGTTATCGCCGGTTACACTAAATAGAATGCTGTAGTTTGGTTATGAAATGTTCATACAGGTTTGAATAGCGTAAGCTATCAGAACTCAAATATGAAATAACAGAAGCCAAATTTTTAAAAAGGGGTTTGCGAGCGCTAATCAAATTATGATATTCGATACGTTGTTGTTGACGTCTTTCGTCACGAGATAATAAAATTTGTCAAATTTTGGCCTTTTAAAATGTTTAAGGTATTAATCGGTGTGGTCTTAAAGCTCTGTCCACTATATTTTCTACTATATTTTCTACTTCTAAGATTTATTGAGCTACTCACATAAAACGGTCGGAGTTTGCTCAAAGAAATTATTTGCATAATCGGCTGTCACGCTTGCAATATCGCTAAAAGTTCGAAGTCACCTCGGCGAAGAAAATCAATAAGTGCAAGATGTTTTTAAATTTTTCTGCAGCCAAACATCTTATAAGCAGAAATCAAGCGGAGTTTTTAATGGTCTGGTCTGGACTTGAGCAATATCAACCGAGAAAGAAAGAGTACTTTTAACCAATTTCAGAGAGCTGTCCAACGAGTGTTTTTAAATAAATTATGACGAGCCTCTGAATAAACGAATATCAAAATTGAAATGCATTTTATACACCTTATATATCACACACTTTAAGAATACAAAATATTTTTTGCTGCATGCGGTGTGATACGAGGACCGGGCTATTCAACTTTTGAAATTTTCGATGTCGCAAGAGGTCAAAAAAGGGCCTTTTGCAGCTTTGACTTTTGAGAGCTCTAAAAATTTTATTTTGAGGTATTTCCAAAAACTAATGTGGTTTTATTTACTTGTTACCAAAAATAGTTTATTGGGCAAAGTTTGAGGGAAAACTTTTTTCCGATGCGAAATGCCCTGGACCGCTCTTACAGAGATCGCCTCTTAATTAGTTATGAGAATTTGGTGTTAGAACGAGATAATATCTTCTGCCTGATTAATTTGTGTATTCTTATTACCTATTTATTGGATAATGTATGGATATTTTAGGGAGAAGTTACATAATCACTTCTGGAAGTTAAAGAGTTAATATGTACTTTGTATCGCAAATTTTCTATTCCATGCAAAGTTTTCAACGAATTAAAAACTAGAGCAATCTTGGAGAGTTCCTTCTCTCGATTCCTCTGTCCAATCACAAAACAAGCGTTTTGGTGATAGTGATATTAGTGTCGTACCATGCAGTTGTAATTGAGTCAGCTACATTTGGGATTTTTTATTAATGAAACTGAACGTTTTAAATTCATTCATTTGTTTATTAATATTACAAAAAAAATTCTAATGATCTCACTTCTTTTAACTTTTTCAGAAACTTGGGAAATAATCGAATAAGCAACATATCAAGCCTTGCAACGTCAAGAATCAACTATGTGAGGGAAATGTAAGCAATATGCATTTTAAAAAGAGAATTCCCCTTGCAAATTGATTCCTATTTTTAGGGGTGATTCGAATTCCGTAATAGACATTTTGTCAGTACGGATGGTAGGCTGGGAAGGCTTGAGTGCATTCATATTTATCTGTATGCGCATTATCTCTTTAGGTCTCTGACGAAAAATCAAATCGAGCAGCTACCAGCCGAAGTGTTCCAGAATTTGAATGTACTGTACGCTTTGTAAGTTGTGTTTGATTGGATACTGAGACTCACTGATTTCATACTTCACTCATCTACGGCTTTGTTTGCGATCGATTGCCTAATATGTCTTATACTTACTTATACAGAGATTTGTCCTTCAACAAAAAGCTCTCGTCCATACCAGATGGTGCGTTTTCTGGCCTCAAGAAATTGGAAGTATTGTAAGAGAAAAGTTTATTTTCAAACACGTAACCTGTTTGTAAATATAATAAGAGAGATGATAAGTTTTGAGCTCGGTAAAGAAGTAGAGAAAGATGTTTTCCGTCTTGTCACGAGACTGGGACAAAGAAAAAATTTTGGGTACCCATGAGATTTGATTCGTCATTAGGAATCAGAATTTTTTCTTTGTCCCAGGCTCGTGACAAGACGAAAAACATCTTCCTCTATGCAACCTGTTGTTATCAAAAATTACGAGGTAACCCTAAAACATGCTAATTAGAGAACTATTATTTGAAAACTCTATATATTTAGATAAAATCTGCCTTTTCTTCTCCTTTTCTTTTGTTTTGAAACAGTTAGAACACAAAATAAAAAAGGTTTACTTTGAACATCAATGTCATTTTCCTTTAATTAGGTTTCTGCACTTCAACAACATCTCAAAAATTAGCAGCCTTACCTTTGCTGGGCTTCAAAATCTGAGGTTGCTGTAAGTAATCTTTTCTCTTTAAGTTGACACGAAGAAAACTGAATTTTTATTGTGCTATATGAAACGTTTAGAAATGAATTTTAAAATACTGAACGTAAAAAAACATACACACACAGCAAAAAGAAACGTTGACTCTAAAATAACGCGGAAGAACTAATACAGAACACTACTGGAAGCCTTACTCCTAATCTCCGAGAAAGAGCGCTATGTAACAAGGGTTTAACAGAGAGCTTGAAGCGTCCGTCTTGTCTTTTTTTTTTGAAGGATGCTTGTGAACAACAGTCTGGCTTCTCTTCCTGAAAAGGCTTTGGCTGAAATGTCTTTGAACTTTTTGTAAGTAACCTGAAATCTATGAATTATTTGCAAATTCTAAGGTGTCACATGGATATCATTAATATATGTAGATTACCTTTACATTAAGATGGTGTGTTCTAATGCCTTTTACTTTCCCTTGAAATCTCATAAAATGGTTTGATTCTCTCTGTATTGTTATCTGTAGGTTTTTACATGGAAACCAGATCAAAAACATTGATGCGAATGCTTTTCGCGGCCTCATTGATCTGCGTTTGGTGTAAGTTGTATTGAATAGAAGTAAACTGATATGCTTTTCTTTCAGCTTCGTACATAGTTCTATAGTATTTAGCATTTTAAAAAGTTCAATATCAATCAGTTGGTAAATGGTTTGTCTAAATCAGTATCACGATCTTGATGGTTTTATGTCAAGTTTCCCCTTGGTTTTTCTTTGTACGGGATAGCGACAAATTTATTCCGCGTAAGGGAAAAAAATTTTAAAGCATGCAGTGATAAACAAAAAACTGCTCAATAATTTTGTTCTTGACTGATCCTGATCTTCGTGCACGGTTCTGACCAAATGAGCCACCTCATTTGAACCTAGTAATTGTCAATTTACTTAAGAATACCTCAAACCTCATCGTAAAGTTAAAAAGTTTGAACTTCTTTTTAGGGCTCTCTCCTGTAAAACCCTCAAAGAGCTTCCTCTAGGGATAAACGAGGCAAGAGTGTAAGTGAAAGGTCATGTAGAGCAATTTTGGTTGTAATTCAGGATCGCTCGGGTTTTGCTGTAAAACTCATGATCAGATTGAAAATAACGATTAATTGACCTTGACTTGATAATGTATATCAACAAAGAAAAGAAGTTAGTCATCGTTACTGTGAATTTGCAGTATTTAACCAAAGTTTTAAAAACATTACAGATCAGTCATTTTTTGCTGCCTCGAGGTCATTTACATATAGGTTGCTCAAGTATATTATCTTCGGTTTGGTCTACTTTATCAGATGCAGTAAAATCCGGCTGTGATGTGCTGTGCTGTCTTGTGCTATAATGTATCATGTTTGAGCTTTCATCAATGATTTGTCATATTCAGTATCTTTTGGTCTGGTTTGGTGTGAGTCTGAATCCAGGCCATTTAATTTGCCTTACGTATAAGCTTTGTGGAACTCTTTAACCTTGAATTACAGTGAATTGTTGCGCCGGCTTTTCACCCTTTTGGTTTTATTAACAAGTTTCTGGTTTTTATTTTCTTTCATCAGTGTATGTGCTCCAACAGAATCTTTGTTTGTAATCGTCGATTCCCGGGAACGCCGCTATCAACTGGATGGTCTTCTAGACTCCGGCTTTATGTGTTCTAAATGCAGTAAGGGGGACTATCCCAGATGCCTTAATTGTAGCCTTTGCTCGACGGGCACCTACAGCAGCCGTGATAGAGCGAATACAAATTGCTTGAGGTGCCCTGCAGGTAAATACGATGCTTTACATATTGCAATTTGTTTTTGAAGACATTACGTTTAGCTAAAAACCATAAAATGAGTGTCTGACCTCAATGGATAGAGTATCGCTCCCAAATGTTTTATTTTCAGGAGGCTTTTACCAAGACGAAATGGGCCAAATTGACTGTAAGACCTGCTCCATTGGCACTTATGTTCCTGAGATTAACTACCCTGGAAAATCCGCGACTGACTGTCGTGCATGCCCTTACGGTAAGAGAAAATAATGGTTGAAAATGAGTTTTGAAAAATTGCGGCAATAACATTGAATAGAAGAGAATTCTTCTTGTAAGAATGCATTACGTATGAATATCTTGAGAAGAATCTCGGTTTCAGAAGTTCTTTCCACAAGAATAGGGAATTCTTTTCTCAAGAACGAGAATTGTTTCTTTGTCATATTGACCCATCTCGTCCTGATAAAGACGGGATGAGTCAATATGAATGCAAGATTTGCAGCACGTGTACCTATGTTATGAAGAGCAGCATCCTGGAAAAAGTCCTACTGACTATCGCGCATGCCCATACGGTAAGGATCAGGTTCAATAACAAGCTCTTACGTGATTTCACTTTCGTCCTTATTTTCCGATGACCATGATTTTATAATTTGAAAGATGTGCTTGCTTTTCATTATGATTTTACACATAAACTTATTATCAAACATTTTCTCGCGATTAAGAGTCATTACTGATTGTAGAGCCAGGCTAGGAAAACCAATTTGTTTCGACACCTGTACTGATAATTTTCGGAAGGCGGTGAGGTAAAATGACTAGCCATATCTAACCGTAAATTGTTGACCGGGTGCTGTCGGTAAAATTTGGTGCTCTGTCTCTGATGTGTATCACTCCCCATGCAACCATAGGTTTACGATGTTGTGGAGAGCACTGGTGGTTGTAATTTAGCAGAAAGTTTATCCATCTGGCTCTGGTTGTTCAAAGACGGGATAGCGCTCTTGACTGAACAAATCTCGATTCGGTGGATAGTGCAGTACGTTCTGTTAACACTTATCCATTGAATAGCGATTTATCCGTCTGATGGTGTTATCCGTCCTTTGATCAACTGGTCTCTGAAAGATCTCTCAAGAAAGTAAAGGGTTTTCATGTTGGAAAATTCTGATCACTATGTTTTTACATAACATCTCTGTGTTTGTAAACAGGTACTAACACTGATGAAATCGCTGGTTACCGTGCATGTCGATGCCTCCATAAATTCTACCGCTTGGATCGTTTTGGCCCATGCAAATCGTGTCCATATCATGGAATGAACTGTGAGAATGATACGGCAATATTAGCACCAAATTACTTTTGGAAATGGAAAAGCTCCGAAAAAATGGAATCTTACACAAGTTTCGTCCAAAACATCCACATTACCACAGCTGAGTATAATAAAACCTTCTCCACTTTTGAGGGACTGTTGCCAAAGTCTCTGAAGTGCCCTTATCCAGACTCATGTAAGGGCGGAATAAACTCAACGTGCAACACTGGCTACCAGGGTACCCTCTGTGCAACATGTTCCTCGTACCATTATCTTAGATTCAACAGATGTTTAAAATGTCCCAAGTTGGTGGTCACAGTCATTTCTTGTGGTCTGATACTTTTGTTCTTTGTCCTGCTGTTTGTGATTGTTTTCAAGTGCGACTCAAGACGAACAGGAGACAATCGTTTTGTTGCAGATGTCGTTATGTCCTGCATTAAGATCATTATTGGATTTTATCAAGTTCTTGCTGGTATTTTTTCAGCTTTGCTGCATGTACAGTGGCCAATGGTTATTTTATCTGCGGCGAAATGCTTGAAATTTGTTGAAGGAAATATTTTACAGTTCGCACCTCTGAGTTGCATTCACCCTGTGCTCCGCTTGGATCCATTTATTCAATTTGTCCTCGCTGTTACTATAAACGTCTTTGCTGTCTCTTTAATACTGCTTTACCTCTTCTTTAAAATGCTTCTCCTTAACAGGATGGAGAATTCCACGGAAGAAAACAATTCCAATTGTATAGCAGGAAACACCTTACAAAGAATAGAGGATACCACAGCAGAAAATGCCTTATATGGAATTGAGAATTCCACGCTAGAGAGTGCTTCGGCGTGCTCAAGGGGGGAATCCAAACGGGAAAAAATCTCAAAGTTGAAGAAGTCTTGCTATCGAAACATCTTTTTATTTCTCTTGTTGTCTTATCCAATAACAAGTAAGAAGATTATAAACATTCTGTCCCTGCCAGGAGCGTGTGTCAAGAAGTGTTTCTTAAATGATGACAGCGATTGTATTTCTCTACTGAAGGCCGACTATTCCATTCGCTGTTCTACCTCTCGACACACTGACTTTTGGCACATCGCTGCTGGGTTTGCACTGTATCCCATCGCCTTCCCAATTCTGCTGTTGGCACTCCTTTGGAAATGTCGAAAATACCCGCAAAAACACAAACAATTTAACTTTGGCTTGAGAGTGTTTTATGAGAACTATGAGGACAAGTATTGGTTCTGGGAGATAGTTGAGATGTATCGGAAGCTGATCTTTATTTCAGTCATTCTTCTGTTCGACTCCGAAAGCGATTCTCAAATTGGCTTTGCTGTGATCGCAGCAAGTGCATCAGGAATTGTATACACCATCTTTCGACCGATGAAAGACAAGTTTGAAGATCGACTACAAACATTTGTGCTGTGGGTAATATTCTTTAATGTCTTTCTTGGTGCAGTTTATTCACGGCCCGCCTTGAACGAGGGGCATGGAGATAACAATTCGTTATTTGTAAATGTGATGTTTTTGATTCTCAACTGTGCCGTGTTGGTTGTGGCAGTTGGTAAGTCCTCTGATCAGAACTTTTTTTTTCGATCAATATATTGTAACGGCATTGCAGAAGACTTTAGGGGTTTGGTCGGAGTTGTTTAATTACTTTTTTCCTAAATGAGCTCTTTACACCGACAAGTGCATATCTCTGTCATGCATTAATACCTACTTGCACTATACTTAAGTGAAAGAGTTGATTCGGTCTTTGGGAGACAAAGTGGTCCGTTTGACACATTAAGTCACAAAAACCTGGTCAAAGTTTGTTAAACTTGGTTAGCAGTGAGCCAAATGTATGAACATGCTAGGAAACTTTGATTATTGTTATCCGTTATCTCTTCCGACCTTCACTGAAGGATTACACGTTTTTCCATCGCTGGAAACCAAGAACACTTCCTGATACAATAATTGTAGTACTACTACTTCAAATTACTACTACAAAGTACTACTGTCCACAACTATTTAGTTTGCTTTTCTGTAACTTTTCCGTGTGGAAAGTTAATCCGCTATGTGACGTTTCTTTTCCTTTCAGGAAAGGGTCTTCTTCATTTAATACATGGCTGTCGACGCAAAAGAGACCCAGATTATGAAGTCCTGGAGCCAAACTTGGGGTACGAAGACCATATTGCAGAGTAATGGCTGCTTTGGCGTTACAGTGTATAGCGTCTTTTTAACCTTTCCTCATCATGTTTACCGCCATTGACTTGCACCAAAGGCCAATATGATTTAACAGCTGAGATTAAAAGATTGATGGACTTGACTCATCCGTAATGTTTGAACTAAGAAAACCAAAAGATTAAACAAGAGAACATAAAATTCATTGGCCAGATTTCAAGACAAAAAAAAACTTAGACTTTGCATGTAGTTTATAAATAATAACAATCAGAAATTAGATGAGTAATTGAGAGCTTAATCAACTCAATTTATTTTTTCCTTTTCACTCTTTTTTGCGGTTCCATCGCTCAATTGATAAATAAATTGATCGACAAAGAGAGCTTAGCTAGTCATAGCTGCATGTGCTCCACTGTTGGTGGCTGCTGTTTTTTCAGGGCATTTTATTGTCCGAAACTACTTGTACGGCTCTTTTGAGGGGGAAACCTTAACCAGGAACTTGGACTCATTAACTAGACTGCCACAGCTGTGTCGTAACGTGTCACATCTTTTCATATTCTGTGATGACCACAAGCATAAGAATTTATACCGTCCAATATGTATCTTTTGTCGTCGAGGCAAGATAATGACATTTTGTTAAGCTCATAGCTTCCTAGTTGATGATTTTTGCTTCGGATAGTTTTCATTGTATGATGCATTTGTTTGCCAGTGTTTATCTTTAGAGTCTTCATGTTTGATGTTCATGATTTTGATAACATTTTTCCTTTTTCCTTTTGCTGTTTTATCACCTTTATTATCATCTTTAACCCTTTAACCAGGAAAGAATTTCTCATTACAATATCAATACAATGTCAACCAGGTAAGCGATGAGAATAAAGAAAAAAAATCAATTTGCGGATAATAATTTGATCCAATACTAAATTCTCTGGACTAACATTATAATAATTGCAGGGTTGACAGATAGGAGAATTACAAATTTAATCTGGGAGTTAAAGGGTTATTATAATAAAGTTCGAATATAACGCGCGCTGTCATTGGTTGAAAGAGCGTGCTCTATGAGAGTATAGAGCATAGAGCTGAGCTACAGTTGTCACTCAATAAGTGGGAAGAAACACTCGACTTCGTCTCGTGTTTCTCCCTACACTTCTTTCGTGCTCTAGCCGCTTCCTGCGTGCTTTATAACAGAACAGAGCACAGTCAAGGCTTCTCTATTTGTTAAAAATAAGAATACATGTTACTTCTTATACCAACGAATTCAGTTATAAGGATAAATGCAGCTTCATCCTTGTATTTTCCTTCACCCCTTTTGTTTGTCTCTTCAAATATAGAGTGTTTTCTGGATAGTCACTATTATCAAATTTATCTTTATTTTTCAATAGTCTTCATACACATCTTCAGCTTCAATTTCATAAGTTCAACTGTCAGTGTCTGTCAATAATATTGACAGACACTGACAGTTGGTTTAATATAATTATACTGAAAATCATACATCAGTGTCATATAAAGATCAAGAATACACAATCCTACATATGCTGGCTTATTAAGGGCTAATATTTCTTTGATCATATGCACAGCTACTAGCGAGTAGTAGTGCATTGCGGAACTATTCACACACCAGCGAAAGCTTATGAGGAATTTGTCGATTTTTGACCACAACACAGATGTAAAGTGGTTTCAGATTAAACATTATCACTCGCGAGAGAACCCTGATCTGGTTTACGCCCGTTTCTGGCGCTACTTGTCGAGTTCCAGCGTTACGTTAGAGTTCGCTACTAACATGTCGAATTCGCTTGCTATGTTAATTCACAATTTTTGGTTCGTTTTTATCCATAAACCAGGAGCAACATCTATAATTTATACTCCCTATCTCAATTTTAACCCTGTTCCCGTGGAAAGATGAAGCTTTTGATAGCCACAAGAATAATAATAATAATAAGTTGAAACGACCGTATAACACTGTTCGTGCACTATTTTGCATCGCAAAATATTTCTTTAGACCTGTTATACAACTAACTTCTCCTTGTTGCCTACACTTCGAAAACATTTGACGAACAACAGATGCAATTGAAGCGAAATAGATAATTTTTTTGTCAGCGTAGTAGCTATGCAAAGCAGCAGACTTAGGCTGGGGGTACAGCTAAGCAACAAAATGAGAGATCCCTGTGTACTCTCTTTGCCGCACCAAAATACCATAATGAAGCCAAAACAATTAAGTTTTTTATTCATCAAAAACTAATGGTTCCTCTGTCAGTGGTTGCATTAGGGACAAATCACTCCGTCCGCTCCTATGACCATCGCGACATCTGCCACACATCTTCGGAAACATTGCACCGGGCAAGAGGAGAACTTTCTCCAGTTTGACTTTAAGTAAAGGAGGCCTTTAACTGTTGAAGAAAACAAAATATGACACGAAATCATGCAGAATCTTCTCAATAAAATCCCATAATGTTTAGGTTTTTTCTTTTTCCGAATGCGCCAAACAGTTAGATAGTTATTAAATGATGGCGGAAGCTTTTTAAGACATTCGAATAACTGTGGCTCACAGGTTGTCATGACGAAAGTAAAAATTAAAGAAGGGAATGAGATACTTAGATGTAATATAACGCAGATTATCTGGCTTACACACCCCTCGCCTGCTCTGTATGGCTCAACTTTTTAATAACTTCTTAATAGGGGAGAAGAGGTCGGTCTTAGAAAATCTCAAAGTGAGGTCTTGTTCCCAAATTGTACAATCCGGGGGAGTGATGGCTCTCTTTGTCCTCAGCCAGCTTAGCGGCCGTAAGTCCGAGTCATACAATATAAATTCGGTGCAGACTTTGTTAATACAGGGTCCCAATAAATGTTAGGATTAAACAACCCTGTACCAGGTCCCTCAAGGGGCATGTTGTTTCGCGCGGCTTCGATCTTTGCTGTTGTCATGCGAAAGAAGCGAAGCAAAGAAAGCGTCGCAAGCTGTATGTTTGCCAACCTTTTTTGTCTCCATGAGGTAAACTTTGATCAGTGTGGAAATGTGAAAATGACCGTAAACATCCCGAAAGGTACAGAATTGTAAAAGAAACCTTTTTTCCAATTCGTGGGATTGTGCAGTAGTCCGTAATAAGTTGCTACAGCTTCTATGCCATCCTGTTTCGCGCGGCCTCGATCTTTTTTGTCACAGAGACTCGAAGAGCTTCACTAATGTATTAAAAAAGGGTATCTTTGTACACCTTTCGCTCCGCGATATCTACGGTCATTTACACATTCTCACGGAGATCAATCTTCTCCTTGGCCATCAAGGATCTGGTACTAGGTTGGCCAGTTCCAGCGTTCATTCTGATCACAGTATTAGCAAAATCGGTTATTGCTTATTGTAAGCAAATAAAACTTACCCACTGCGATTAACATCACGGCGCTATTCAGAAACACAAAAATGGATTCGTTTCCTATTGGATTCTAGAAAATGGTGGGCTGTAAATGTATTGCACCGAGGCAGACATTGAAGAATATTATCCAAAGCATACAGGCTTGTAATCGATCTTCGAATTTGCCTTTTATGGGTCGGACCATGGTGTGAGAAATTCCTAATGCACTTGCATGCCTGCCAGTCGCTGGCGCCGCTTGTTGAAGCTAAAACGAAAAAAAAATTATTTTAAGATTATCATTGGCTTCTTTGTCACCCCACCACTATTCTTAGCAACAAAGGTCGCCATTTCGTTTGTTTATTGCTCGCCAAAAACTATCAAATGCACTCAAAAGCCTAAAATCGAAAAAAAGTTTACAGGAATCGACCAATCGAGCGAGCGAGCGAGCAAGTGCCATTTCCCACATCGTATCTATAACTCGCTCTTGCGCATGCGCGCAATGCACGAGTTAAAAAGGACCTCTTGTTGCAGTGTTTAGATCACCCCTGATGAAGGCACTAGACAGGAGTGTCGAAACGTTGGGTCTATGAATTGTAACTTCCTGGTTACGCTCATTAAATCTTTAAGCCAGAGTAGCATCAAGCTGGGGTAACAATTCACTGTAACTCAAGGTTAAAGAGTCCCACAAAGCTTATATCTAAGATAAATTACATGGCCTGGATTCAGACTCACACTTAACCAGACCAATAGATACTGAATATGACAAATCATTGATGAAAGCTCAAACAAGATACATCAGTTATAGAACAAGACAGCACAGCACATTACAGCCGAATTTTACCGCTGAATTAACAAATATAGAAGCCTTGACTGTGCTCTGTTCTGTTGTAAAGCACGCAGAAAGCGGTTCGAGCACGAAAGAATTGTAGGGAGAAACACTCGATTACGTCTAGTGTTTCTCCCCACTTCTTGAGTGCAGGATTTCTCATTCTGTTGACCTTATTTGAACATAACATTATTCCCAGAGGAGAAAGCACGCCGGCGCAAGATTATCAAGTGCTTCAGTTCTTCCGATCATCCACGGAGGGTCATTCCGATGGATCTTCACTCGTTTCTCTGGCATGAGAATGTTGTGGCCAGTCATAATTGCAGAACACAGAAACTTGCATTTCTCGTCGCACAACGTTTCCGATTCAATCAGGTGCCAGTCAATTTCGGATGGGCACCGACCAAGTTCCATTTTATGTGATGGGCGGATTTCTCTTTTAATGACTATTTCCTGCATGGGGTATTAGTGGATACGCTAGTTTTTGGCTAAACTGCAACAGCATTATTGTCAGATAGGCCAAAGGGTGGTGAAAGTGCGGCTGGTTTTAAATCATAGAAATTATGCATGTTGATGAGCACTAGATCCAGATTGTTAGCACCGTCTGTTGGTTGGTGGACAAGGTGTTTTTTAGGCGGAAATCTCGACAAAGATGTTTTGTGTCCAGTTGGTTAAAGTCGCCGGCGATAATAATACCGCAACCAGGAAATAGACCTTCAGCACGTGTGATGACATCGGACAAGTACTCCAAGATTTCAGTGTCGTTAGAACTAGGTGGGTGGTAAATACATGCGGTGACGACGCAGTTAATCCCTCTTGGTAATCTTGGGGGTCTAATGTAGGACCATAGGACTTTGAAGGCGGGATCTTCAAGTTCTTGTAGTCTTTTAGTCATGATAGATTCTTTTATATACATGCAAACTCCTCCATGTGTACCTGTATTATTAGGAGAGTCTATCGTGATCATCAATAAAAATAATTATTAAGTTGATTTTTCAAAAATTGTAAAACAGTGTACTGGTCACGGTGTTTTTGCTTCATTTAAATCTCTAGCTTCCCGAAGCTTTGGAACAAACTGTGTTTATCTTTTCAAAGCCCTTTATCGTCTTCGCTTTTGGTTGGACGAGGTTCGATTCCGCGTAGAACTTTCTCTTCGTCTCACGATCGCGTTCAAACGAATAACCTCTCCCTTTATATTACAAATGGAATAGAAATTTACCAAATCATAATTCTAATTCTATCAACTTCGTATGTTTTTCCTACGAATTGGTCATCCGTCCCTCTTGAGCCGGTCCTATTGTGTTCTGCTTCCAACTTGTGCTTGTTTCTAACAGCTGTAGATGTTCTTGATGTCGATTGATGCCTCCTCGGGGATACGAATTTATGTCAGAATTGGACGGCGAGTTGCTTTTAAGAGGAAGGGAAGACCATATTTGCGATTAACACTCAAACTTATGAAACTTTCATGCTGGTAGAAATAAGAAGTAGAAGAAAACTTCCACTTTGTAGTAAAGTATTTCTTCGGATAATGTATCACTTGTTAATGATTAAATTTTTTCTTTTCTTTTTCCGAGAAACTCAAGTAATAACTGTTCCGAAAAAAATAGCAGACCTTCCACCATATTTCAAGATAATCAATCCATAAAAGGATTGCCGAAAGATGGCCCCAAATTTTGAAGCTCTCGGTAAAAGAGACTAAAACTTGCATTTTTTTATCTTTGGTTAACCTTTGAACTTCTTTAGCTATTACGTGTCAGTGTTTAAGTTTTAATATGTCTAACGAGAGAGGGAAACAAAAAAATTCGTCAGACGCAGACGACTTCAACGCATTTTTCAGAGAATCACTCATAAAATTGAGTGAAGGCCAAGAAAGGATTCCCCACGATGTCCATCGAGCGCTATTCGCGTGAATACAACCTGAGATTCCACAACATCCCTTAGTCTCCTGTGAAGGATTGCCGCCAGAAAATCGGAGATATTTTAACTGAGCAACTTAAAATGGAGCCGAAGATAGAAAATGCGCATCGCGTAGGCCCAAGCATCGCCGACAAGCCGAGGGCGATAATTTGTAAGTTTATTTACCGTCCCGAACGAGTTAAAGTGCTTTAGAAGAAACGTTACCTTCAGAACAAAGTCTGGATAACCGAGGATCTCATCTGGGAAGATCGGGAGAAAAAGAAGAAGTTAAAAGATTTCATGAAAGAGGCATACGAAAGTGGAAAGAAGCCACGTTTTCATCGTGGGAAATTGTATATAGACGGAACTTTGTTAAAAAATTCATAGACGTCTTGATCATTGTCAGGTTAGTTAGTAACTATAGAGCAATACGCGAGATTGGGAAATGTTTTAAATCTGCTGAATGATTAACATCTCAAATGATCCAGACCTAAATCTTCAATCCTTCAATGATCATGGTATATTTACAATAGAGGAGATAAACGAGCTCTCCAGTGTAGTTAAACCGTATCTTTCGGTGTTACATCTGAATATAAGAAGTTTGCGTAAACATTTTGATGAACTATGCAACCTTCTAGTTTCCACTCCCCTCGAATTTAATTTAATTGCTTGCTAAGAAACATGAATAACTCCTCAGGCCGATCCGAATCAATTTCAAATATCAGGATGCAACGTGATAACAGACAATCGTGTTTCCTCACTAGGCGGCGGAGTTGTTTTATTTCTTAAAGAAGATGTTGACTATTGTCTAAGAGAGGATCTAAGAATCAATGGAATTGAGAATATTTGGGTGGGTATCGCTCAATCACGAGACATGACACGGTAGTCCTAAAAGCCAGTCCTTTCTGGAAAATATATCGTTCGTTTACGGAGGAAAAAACCAGGTCTCTTAATTGTCCATTTAATGCTTTGCTCGAGACGCCATCTACATAGGCATATATTTGGTTTAAAGTATACTGCATCGCAAGACTTCAACATCTTGTAACCCATCAGGTGAGGTGGTTTTTATCTAAGCAGTGACTACGGACTCCTATCCGCGCAAACATTTTATTTCAGCAAAATACAAAAGTTGCACATCAAATTCTATTTGTATACGTGTAAAACTGATGGATACCCCTTGAAGACGCAAGCCACAGGCTATTAAACCTTCCACTTCACCAAGACATTTAAAGGATATCACGGATGGGCCTTAGTTTTCCACGCATAACTGCTAAAAAAATTTAAAAATAGCTTCAACTTTAAAAAAATAATAAAAACACGCATAAATGCAGTGGCCTAAGAGAGTCATAACGCGTAGACATAATGGTAAGAGAAGAGGCCTCACTTAAAATTCCTTTTTTCCAGAAAATGTAAACAAAATAAGTACACTGCTGAAGAACCATTCAAATCGATTCCTCAAAAACGCGTTCGACAAAAAGCGACAGAAGGATTAAAAAGAAAACAAAAACAAAGAACAGTTGAGCGACAAAGTTTCTAGAACTACGTTTACAACAACAGATGCGTCGCGTCTTGAACTTGGAGTTACGATTGTACCTCTTATAAATATATCCACACGAAATTAAAACTAAATGCCGATGTTGAAAAGAAGTTAAGTTCTGACTCAAGTTCAATAACTAGTGGATGTCTTGGTCCATTGAGTCAGCAGTGATTGGCTCATGACACGACCACTACCGCCTGGACGCAGAAAACGGAGAACTGCTCCTGATTGAACAGTATGAGTGTGGCTCCAAATTTCCCCTATTTTCGAAAAAAGGCAATGAATTGATTGTCGATATATCAAATTATAAAAACAAACAAACAGCAGAACGAGAAATGATGTGGTGCATGGTTTAGACTCCAATAATTTCACGATAAACGCATCATGGGTTAGCCATCGAGATGCCAGTACAGTATGTGTTAAAAACAAGTAAATAGAATGTTTCTCCTCTCTGGAGCCAATATGTATGGAAAAAAACTATTAAGTACTATACCCTAAAGATGGGGGAAACATTGATTATGTGAAGGCCTGTTCTGTTCAAGGTGTAGGTCTCTAGGAGGAAATAAGAGGTGAGACAGTTATGTCGCGCATAAACGCATTTCTTCGTTTTGGCTAGTAAAATACGTAAGAAAAGTAACCAACTAAAAGTGCAGATAAAAAGAGAAATTTCGCCAGATACTTTCTCTTGTTTATAAAATGGACAAGTTTTATTTCTTCATCTTTGCTTATCTTTGTGAGATTTAACATTTGATAAGTTTCGTACTTATAACAACTGTAATGCAAAATACATAAGATGAAGAACTTTTCTGTAATAAGTTCCGCTGTTTACCAAAGCTGAAAACCTCGAGGGAGTAACTGAATGTGTCTCCGCGAATAAAAGAATATTTTTTTCTTCTGAATCGTGTGACGAAAAATATCAGGCAATATTTTTATGCAGAATAGGTGTAAACTACTCCTGCAATACCTTTTGAATTTCGTTAATAATGTGGCAGGAAATTGTATCTTGATTAAGTAATCCTGATGAATACTCACCGTCTGCTGAGAAATAGCAGTGGTATGGCACGTGATTGCAATTCAACTCCTTATTCCGTTCGATGATGGTTTTTCCATGTTTCGTGACGTTGACAAAGAAAGACAAAGAGAAAATGTCTCTCGCTGTAAGGAGAAATATAGAAAAGTTTTGATGAGAAACTCTTTGAAATTGTCCGTGTTTAAGACAAACCTAAAACTGAGAAGATTAATAAGCGATGGGATCACGCTATAAAGGAGAGTGTCGATTATCTTGACTACTTCCTTGGTCTAGCCAAAGAGAATTTTATCCTCTCATGTCCAGCCACAATACAATAAAACGACTCCGTTCTTATTGCCTTCTCTTCACTAAAATATTTGAAGTTAGGTTTGACCACTGACATTGAAACGTTTTTATCGCCAAACTGGAATGTCTGACAACTATTCTCCAATTCGGGTTGATTAAGTGAGCTCTTTTAAAAAGTAACACAACGACTTACCAGGGGTGAACGTAACCGTGAAATTGACGGAATCAGCATCTGTTATCACCGGCCATGGAGAAACCTTGTACTTTAAGGTTTTATCCGGAGGACCTGGAATACAACGATGCAATTCAATGCACGCCATGCTGGGCTATCTACAGCTCTACGCCCATAAAGACAACCATCCCCTTGCCCTAAAGTCTCCAGACAGCACCCAGTTTCTTTCTGGATTTATCCTGGACTTCAAAGGGACAAAAAAAGTTGACATCCTACATTACTCCCTAGCAATTGATAATGATTTACATAAGAAAAATAGGAATACCCTCAAAAAAATAACCAATAATTCATTAAGTAAGGGAGAAATGTTTTACCGCAATATTTCAAACTTTTTACTTCCACTTGTAAGCCAGCGGACAGCATCACGTAGCAAAAGAGGAAGATCACAGCTTGATAATAAACGTTTGTAGCCATTATTCACAGACTCTGTTGAGTAAGAGGATCAAACGTTTGAATACATCATGAAGACTTGAAAACATGCTCACCCCAAACACCCTCGGATGTCATGCAATACTCGCCCAAGAGAACTCTCATGAGGGAGTGCTGCGTGACACCATATGACGGCTTCAAAGGAGATCAGAGGTGAAAACTAACGCAGTGGTCTCGACAACTACTTCTTTACTGCAGGCGCCTTTGATTACAAAAAATCATATTTGTACTTGGAAGTCTTAGGTTGTACTCGTTGTAGGTATTGAAGATTTTTCAAAGAATGCACATGAGGCATTAATCAAAGAACGGTGAATTTTTACCAAAAATAACGGACGTGTGGTAATTGTCATTAAATTGAGATTAAGTAGACGTTATGAAAGAATGGATGTCATTTAACTGTTAAAAATGTTATCTTTCGGCTATTGAAGTACATGAAGTTTCATTGCGACAGACAGTCACTGATGACATGCACTGTTAAAAGGAAGCATTTAGAACCGGTTGACATGTTGAGATGTAAACCGGGAATTAGCCAATCAATCACGCTTTATGCAGCAAATGTTTGTTTAGCAGACCGTTACGCTTCTAAGTTGAAATGTTAAATTTTGCTTCAGAAGATCTTTCAAATCATGTCTCTTTAAATAATTGATGAACAATTTATGTTTCAAATAAAGGTAAAGTGCTCGAAAATCCCAACTGGCAAGAGGCAGACCAGCTGGCTATTTATACAGCGCGAGGTGTTAAACTCGGAGCGACCGAGAACAAATCCAGAGAGCAGCAGGAGGAACCATATTTACAAGCCCAGCATCCTAACCAATTGTCAAGTCCCATTTTCCAGATTGCTTACTGTCGAAAAATACTAGAACGATAAAGTCGCAGGGTATCAAGGATAGAAGAGATCGCCTTGTGTGATTAATGCAACGCTGATCATCCAAAACGAACTTACATGTACACTAATTAATTACAGAAAACGCGAAAACAACACACTCACCCACTGAGTAACAACTCGCTCGAGATGCGAGGAAGGAACAGTTGTTGATTATTAGAAAGTGGAGGATATATTATATTACAAATGAAATCACCTAGGGTTTTTTCCTAATGTCAGGAGGAAAAAACCGTGCTATGTTTTCGTTATGTTCCAGATGGCAAAGTATGCAGTACAATGTAGCCCACGGGACTTTTTCATATAATCAATTGGGGGAAAAAACCTCTGAAGCTGATGCTTTTGTTCTTTTTGTCTTTTCTTTCTTAGCTGTCTTAACTGAAGGCTTAACTCAACAAGGGCAAAAAAACAGTAGTTTCAATCAAGGGAAAATGCCTTTTAGCTGATCTTTTTCATTACAACTTCACGTCACCTATGTTTCGTGGGTCGTTCAGTATTCGTACATTCGTACTATTGTTTAAGTTCTTGTTGGATTTCACCCGGAAATGTAAGACCGCTAGAGAAATCGGAACGCTCTTTCATGACATATGTGACAATTTTCTTTTGTTTCACGTCCAAAAACGAACAATAACTTCAATTCCGGAAATTTTTCTTTTAATTTCTTAATACAATGCAAGGAACGCAACAGATAAAAAACAGTAGCTTAAATGTAAAAAACAGAAGTTTGGAGTTCATTAGCAAAAACGGTTCGCGAGCGCAGTGTCCCACAAACATCTGATTCTAACATCTCGAACAAAGATACTTTCGGAACACTTCAGATTCGAAAGTCTAAATGGACTCTCCCAGAGGGCCAGTTCGCATCTCTAGATTTTCTCATCAAAAAATGTCGCCACGATATCAACAAACTTAAATTCAATAGTAACACCAAGGCAATCTTTCTTCGGAAGAGCGTTCGGCACTGAAAAGTCTAAAAAAACGCAAAGATATAGTCATTAAAGCGACCGACAAAGGCGGCGTAGTAGTTGTTTGGCGGGCCGACCTCTACCAATGTTAAGAAACCTAGCTCTGAAACACTACTCCGTTTGGCCGAACTAGTGCTCACACTCAATTGCTTTTCATTTGGTGGTAACTACTACACACAAACTAATGGCGTGGCCATGGGTACAAAAATGGGACCCTGCTACGCCAATCTTTTCGTAGGTTTTATCGAACATCAATTTTTCAGTCGATACCACGGTCCAAAACCTGAACTCTTCGGCCGTTACAATGACGATTACTTCGGCGCTACCTCCTCTACCAGAGAGGAGCTCACTCAATTTATAACCGCCGTCAATTCCTTTCATCTGGCTCTTAAATATACCTGGGAAATTTCCGACACTTCTTTGGCTTTTCTAGACATCAAAATTTCAATTGAAGGCAACGGTTTATGCACTAGTGTTTACTACAAACCTACAGATTCACATAGTTACTTGGTGTATTCATCTTCACATCCATCACACGTCAAGAACGTTTTTACCTTTTTCACAGTTTCTCAGACTTCGTCGTTTATGTAGTGAGTTTCGATTGTCATCTAGCGCGCTTATCGGAATGTTCGCAAATGTGTTTTTTACAGACCTTTACGTTACTGTTTTTTTCGTCACCATATTCCCACCAATAGCGTAGCTCCACTTCACAACTCACAATTCCTCCAATCGCTCTAACGAAGGGCTAACGCTCGAAATGTCAGCGTTTTTAACCTCTAAGGTGGCTAATTTACGTTTTCAACTCAGTTGTTAATACTAAATTACCTGTCCCACAAACACTTGTCCCACAAAATTCTTTTTCACGTAATATTATGAGAATCACATTCAGAGCGTGTGCCAAAAACGTAACAAACTCAGCGAACAAATTCTATATTGCCTCTCTGAACTTTCCAAAATCTGTCCAGCTATTTCAGTACAATCCATTCGTGCCAAAACACAGGCTGCCAATTCTAAACTTTTTAACCATTTGCACCAAATTAAGGCCCAAAAACTCGACCAACCTATCGGCCCTCAAATTACAAGCGACTCATGGCCTGAAAACCTCAAAACTGCAGTTACCATACCAGAAAATTTACTACTTTCCGATTCAGAAAAATCATTTCTCAGTATGGGCTTAAATTTTGTTCCCGCGTTGGCAAAGAAGATGATTCTAACATCTCGAACGAAGATACTTTCGAAACACTTCAGGTTCGAAAGTCTAAATGGTATCCCCCAGAGGGCCAGTTCGCATACTTAGATTTTTTCATCAGAAAAAGTCGCGACGATATCAACAAACTTAAATTCAATCGTAACACCAAATTTTCCGATCTTTCTTCGGAAGAGTGGTCGGCACTAAAAAGTCCAAATTCTCAAATTACAAGTGACTCATGGCCTGAAAACCTCAAAACTGTAGTTACCATAACAGAAAATTTACTACTTTCCGATTCAGAAAAATCAGTTCTCAGTAAGGGCTTAAATTTTGTTCCCATATCCAAAAAACCTGACAAACTTTCAGTTAAGCAAGACGTTGAAAAATTCCTTCGCCGCGTTCAATTGAAAGCCTTTTTTCATGACAAAAAGGATGATTCTAACATCTCGAACGAAGATACTTTCGAAACACTTCAGGTTCGAAAGTCTAAATGCATTCCCCAAGAGGGCTAGTTCGCATCTTGGCAGTGGCACAAAAGTAGGTTGAGCAAAACGTCATTGTTTACCAAGCGGCTCAACTTATTTTCGCTAAAGGTACTGATAAACAGCAACTAACTTAGCCTACTTTAGCTCCAAAAGTACATTGTCGAAAGTATTATTTTCACACACGAGGCATTTCTTTCCTTCTTTTATTGCTGGAGAATTAGAACCAGCTGATGATTGACAGAGCTCAATCATTTCACCAATTTGGAACATCAGAATGAACAGGTGATTTACAATTTTTTAGTAATGAAATTAAACATGACGTCAACTTCATTCTGCAGATGTACAAGGAATCTTCAGTTCAATTATGGACACGTCTTACGCTGATGGCAATGTTGTCATCGTGCGTAGCCCCAGGATTCAGTTGTTTGAAGGATGTTCACCCAGGAAATTGTACCTGCTATCCCTTTGGTAAAGCACGACTTCGTGTCAAGTGCACTGGTATAATACAAGTACCCAGTAACTTGCCTGAAAATACGGTGGTGCTGTAAGTAAAACGTTATTCTCTCACTGTGAAAGTGATTTATAGACCTACTTCAAAATAGCAGCCATGATTACTCTTCTTCAATAAAAACAAGCCTTCTTTACGTCGCTTTTTGGAGAACATTCTGCAGTTCAAATGAATAAAGGGGGTAATTTTGTAAGGAAACAATGGTGCTGCGTCGGTGGGAGAGTATAGCAGGGTAACTGAGCTAACAAGCCAACTGGGAGCTGGTCATGATGGTGCACTACTTAGGAACTGCGAGGATCACTTTCATTCATGTCTTTATCCGCAGTTCAAATATATGACTTTCATATATTCTTAACCGTATATTCATCACTTGACGGGTTTATTTAGAACCACCATCATGACCAGCTCCCAGTTGGCTTGTTAGCTCAGTTGGTAGAGCGCTGCACCGGTATCGCAGAGGTCATGGGTTCAAATCCCGTACAGGCCTGAAATTTTTTTCAGGCCTTATTTTCACTACTGCCTAAGTAGTGCACATCACTGCGAGGATCACTTTCATTCATGTCTTTATCCGCAGTTCAAATATATGACTTTCATATATTCTTAACCGTATATTCATCACTTCACGGGTTTATTTAGAACCACCATCATGACCAGCTCCCAGTTGCAGGGTTGGTAGAGAGAGAGAGAGAGAGAGAGAGAGAGAGAGAGAGAGAGAGAGAGAGAGAGAGATTTTGAATGCCTATAACTGACTTCCTTTCATTCACACATTAGGTCTTTTCAGTGCCATGTTGATCTCAGAAAAGCGACGTCACACTGATGTATAAATATATGGGCCTAGAGATGCAAAAGACTGGTAATGAACAGTTTTGTTAATATCCAAATCGCATCGTATCCATACATTCAATAATTTTGCGGCATAACTGTCACCAGCATTAAATCTTTCTCAGATAGTCCAGATATAGCCTTCTGAGTTTTCGATCCAGAGGGGAGTAGTATTTTTAGAGAGAGAGAGAGAGAGAATGCGTTGAATGGATATAACTGACTTCCTTTTACAGATGAGGTCTTTTTCTTGCCTGATTGTTCTTCTCTTCCTAGCAAGAGCCTGGTCTAAGCTATTCCAAATCGCATCGTATCATAATTCAATAATTTTGCGGCACTGTCGCATTAAATCTTACCCAGTACTTCCCCATGTAGTATTTTTATTCCTGTGACCAATACTTACAATCAGATACTCGTGTAAATAATTATTTCCTCATGGTTCTCTACTGAAGTTACATTCTTTAAAATATTTCGTTGTCTAGGGATCTTTCAAACAACCGTTTGAAATCTATACCGGAGGAAGCCTTCTCAAATCTAAAATTGCTTGCAAAAATGTGAGTTGATGTTCACGTTCAGTTGTTTTTATCATAGCTGTCAGACTTATTCCTATTTGGTTGCGAGCGATCCGGGTCTAGGCTGGGTGCATTACATTTAGGTAGATCTGCACCGTTTATTCCATGTCATTTATTTTTTCCTTTCAACTGGTTCAGCAATTTCATCATTCAATGCTCTTGGGGTCATTTCTCTCAGCAGACACCTCTAAGGATAAGCTCACTTGTCTTCTTTTGTGCTTCCGACTGGATTTGTCGCTTAGACACTTGCTGTGTCTAATCATGCTTGAGACTCTCACGCATTGCGAATATTTTTAGACACTTTACCGTTATCATTATTACTATTATTGTTATCATTATTATAGATCTCCTTCACAAGCGTGTAAACCCATTACAGGAGGTTCAAGCGTTTAGCTGCATTAATTTGTTTTTGATCTTGTTGATTGTCATTCTTTTTCTTATCCTCTCAGCGATCTATCGCGAAACAAGTTAAGGGCAATTCCGAAGAACACTTTCCGAAATCTGACGGCTTTGTCTAACGTGTGAGTACTTGCATGATTTTTCATTAAGGGGTATTGGAATATTTCAGAAAAAAACTTGGCTCAAGATGTAAAATTTTAAGCGGCAAGATTTTGTTCCTATGCTACTGAAGAAGAATCAGCATCCAATTATACATTTTCCCCTTAAAAAAAAACCCTTAATTTCATTCTGACTTAACGCTAGTCACTTTTGATAACCTTAACGTGGCGCCTTGGGTTCAAACGACACTTCCTGCTCGATCCATATTATGCTTATTATTGTTATTTTTCGTTTGATCTTAGAATTATCAACCAGAACAACCTCAAAGGTGGATTTTTCCTTCCTAAAAGCGTATTAAAACTGTAAGTTCTAGTTTTTCAAAGGTTTTTTTATTCTAGGTTACAAATCAGAAGTATGCTCAACAATCCATACAAATTTCATCTCCACTAATCAAAAATACATATGACATAATGACTCATGAATACCGCGTTTTGAGTGACCTATCCCTAAGAAATTGTCTTAAAATGCGCCAAAAACTCAATTATGTTCGCTGTTATATTGAGTCATTCCCAGCAAACCTGGTCATTTACCGATGACGTAAAAAGCAATTCTAGTTCTCTTTTTTACCATCCTCTAGACTCAGATCTGAAGACTGAAGAAGTAAAAAGCGCAGTGGCTTGTTAAGGATTTTTGTGTATGGCCAATTTGCTGGGTTGTGTTTCAGGCTCTTTTCAAAATGGTGATCAGGAATCCAAAGAGGAAGAAAATTTGCGAATTTTTAGGTCACTCTCAGCTTTGGAATCTCAGTCGGGGAAAGGTGTAACAGAATAAAAAGTATCAGCATATGTCTCCTTTATGTAACTCGAAAATAAATCATGATGAAGGATTTTATACAAGATTTGCTTTGCATCCAATTTGCTTAATTTTTATCCATATTTTAAAGGAAGCATATAGGATTTTTTAAGCCAGCCTGAAAATTCAAATTAAGAGTTAAGCCTATACCACGCATTACACATCATTCTGAGTCTGATGTCTCACGTGAATGCGTTGACATGATCAATTTATGTCAAAATCGATGCATGCGCGTTTTCTCTCGTTTTCGTTAAATTGATAAAGATGTAAAGCAAAGACTACTTCTGTCGACCTCGCTAAGAGATTTCCGAACCCTTTTATGAAAATAAACCTTCATCCACTTATTTGTTTACAGACAGATAGATTCCAACGACCTAACGTTGGACGACATGAAAGAGATTTTGCAAAATTCTAAGGATATCACTTTCCTGTAAGTGTGTGCATCTTTTATGGAAAATATACTCATTTTATGAAGCATGAGAAGAGTCTTACTTTTCACTGCGTTAGTAACTGTTGTGGAGTTCAGGTCCGAGTGCAAGCACTCGATTAATTAAAAGTATGTAGGGATATCGGCTAGGCGTTGGAGAAACCTGACAAATTACAAGGGGGCTACCACAAAGTTATCACTCAGTACTCTCTTCCCTAAAGCCTGGTTTTCCTACAGCATAAGCTCAAGTGCAAGCACAAACGTTAGGCAAGCATAACAGCTCTTTTTTCACCTTGAAAATTACCTCGACGCTAGCATAAACACAAGTGGAAGCAAGAGATCAGATTTTTTCCTTTGTCCCATGCTTTGCACTTTTGCTTGCATCAAAGCCATCATACGAGCTTTCAAGTTTGCACTTGCGCTTGCGTCGCGTAGTGAGAACCAGGCTTACGACTGACAGCTCTTCTCTCTGGTCACTAATCTTTGCAAGGCAGGTAGTTCAGACGTTAGTATGATTAATATCATCTAGCTTCACTTGAGTCCAATATTTAAACAAGATGAAAGACTTATTGTTAGGCTAATTGCTATTGTTTACATATTATTAAATCCTCGCAGAAGCATTTCAGAAAATCCCCTTGGACCTAACTTAACTGCAGACATTTTCGCTGGTTTTGACAGGATCATGTATTTGTAAGAACCGTAATTGTAACATGTTAATAAGATTCATGTAAGATTTATCTCAATAATCATGGCACCTTTTCAAAGTTTCCACTTTGCCCCAAGTAGTACTACTACAGTTTTTGTTCTTTAAAACCTTTGTTATTTCAGTTTCTAATTCAGTCTTTCCTTGTTTACCATGCGTGTTTTCTTGGTGTGAGATCGCTGGTGATAACAATCAGCAAATCCTGACAGCTGAACATTTCACACAATAATGATGATCCCGTCAAATTTTTAAACTCCTTTCTGATTTTAACGTCATCTACGCCTTCGTCGACGTCCTCATCATTGAAAACCAGGCGCGTAGGCAGCTATTCGACTTGTTGTAGACCTGTTTCCAAAGAAACCGAGATTTTTGTAATTCTAATTCACTTGAGATGCAGATCGCCATCTACACCTCAAGTGACTACATCGTGATACAGACGATTAAACAGTTTATTATTACTTATCACCACGATAAGCAATAACCTCTTTTATGATAGTTTGTTATTCTTTACCGCAGAAATATTCGATTGGCAAATTTGACAAAAATTGCTGATGGAGCGTTCAACTCTTTAAGTAAACTCAATGACTTGTAAGTCCCTGTTTTTATGTTGTAAGTAGAAGTTGGCATGTTTTCTTGCTTTCAGAATTGCTCTTGTTTTTATCCTTCTTGGCAAAAAACAATCCCTCATGAACGAAAACTATCACACGAATATGTACCTGCTGCACTAACCTCCTCGTTCCTTAATAATTTCATTAAACCGTGCCGATTCCTATCCAGCTTTTTAGCTTGTTTTTGTAACAATTACATGCACATGTTCCCTGTTACCTTTCTATTTCGTGCCCCGTGGCACAAAACGCGTCCACTTGCAGAGGCCTTCGCTAGATGTGCATGACTGTGCAACGACTTTTGACTCTTATTTTTGAATACCCCAGGCGATTAGATGACAACAAGTTAACATCTGTACCCGACTTGACTGGCCTTAAGACGGTGGAGCTAATGTAAGTTTCTATTACTCAAATAGTGGGTTACTTCTCGTGTTGTTATTTTATCTTGCTTCACTTTATCGAAAATCTTTCAAAAGGCTTGAAGTGTAATCTTGTAAACATTGAGCCATTTTCTACGCCAAAAGTAAAAACTAAATTTGCTTAACGTAAACTGCACTTTTACTTTTTAGTTTTCCATCAACTCAGTATTCAAAGCCAATTGTAAAATAATTTCTTTTCAATTTCCCTGCTAATTTCGATTTCTTCAGGAGGATTTAACCTTTAACGCTTCAAACTCCTACCGACTATTTGCTCGCATTTTGGACACATACGATATACACTGTATCCTGAGAATTTAGTGGAAATTGGCTCACACGATTCCGTGGAGCAATACATATCTTTTGCAGGTGATAAAAAGCCACAAAATGTAAAATGATGTTTCGTCTGGAAAATGTTTCATATCAATTTTTTTTCTTATCTAAGTTGTAAAAAAATTTAGTCAGCATGAGTCCATTAAAGAGGAGAAAACACGAAAGAAAAAAAAATTACCTCAAGTTTAAGTATGCATCATAACGCATGATTTAACCTTTAAGAGAGTGTCTCTGTAAGAGCGGTCCGGACGATTTTGCTTGAGACACGGATTTCGCTCGTTTCTTGTGTGTTGTAAGACATTCATGTACCTTTACTAAAACAACAGTCAGTTTGATCACATCTCTTTATTTTTCAGAGTTTTACGGAAATTAAATTTCACTCGAGCAAAGGCTTGTCGTGACACTTTTCAAGACTTTAATTTCATACAACATTGGAGGACAATTTACAAAAAACTGCGGAACTCAGCAAAAAACAAATACCACAGCCATGTATATTAACTTTATCTTATCTATCGAGGCGACTTTCGTAAACATCACGTTTCAATCAAGGAAACAGGAAGACTTGAAAGACACCTTATCGGTTCGCCTAAATCACAGACGCCAAAACCGATCAGATTCAAGGTAAATTTAAAAAAAAAATAAGGCGTTCTTAACTGATCCAACTAACATAGCTAGGAAGTAGGTGCCATAGAAAAGGTGACTTCAGTAAAAAACTTTGCGGCCCGACCTTTCCGAGAACTTTATAACTCCGTGAACTCGCCGACTTTCATAACCAGTCTCCTCTACTAACTATGGCGAAAGTCGCCTCGATAGATAAGATAAAGTTAATATACATGGCTGTGGTATTTGTTTTTTGCTGAGTTCCGTAGTTTTTTGTAAATTGTCCTCCAAAGTTGTATGAAATTAAAGTCTTGAAAAGTGTCACGACAAGCCTTCAATCGAGTGAAATTTAATTTCCGTAAAACTCCGAAAAGTAAAGAGATCTGATCAAACTGATTGTTGTTTTAGTATAGGTACACGAATATCTTACAACACACAAGAAACGAGCGAAATCCGTGTCTCAAGCAAAATCGACCAGACCGCTTTTACAGAGACACTCTCTTAATTTCTAATACCTGATTGTTAATTCTCCCCTCTTGCTACTACACATTGCCTTGTTAATTAGTTATGAGAATATGGTGTTAGAACGAGATAACATCTTCTGCCTGATTAATTTGTGTATTCTTATTACCTGTTTGTCGGATAATGTATGGATATTTTAGGGAGAAGTTACATGTTGATCACTTCTGGGAATTTGGGTTAACACCTTTGTATCGCAAATTTTCTATTACATGCAAAGTTTTTTGAATTAAAAACTGAGCAACATTGGAGAGCTCCCTCTCTCGATTCCTCTGTCCAATCACAAAACAAACGTTGTGGTGATAACGTTATTAGTGTCGTACCATGCAGTTCTAATTGAGTGAGCTACATTTTGGATTTTTTATTAATGAAACTGAACTTTTTGAATTCATTCATTTGTTTATTAATGTTAAAAAAAATTCTGGTAATCTCACTTCTTTTAACTATTTCCAGGCACTTGGGAAATAATCGAATAAGCAACATATCAAGCCTTGCAACGTCAAGAATCAACTATGTGAGGGAAATGTAAGCAATATGCATTTTAAAAAGAGAATTCCCCTTGCAAATTGATTCCTATTTTAAGGGGTGATTCGAATTCCTCAATAGACTTTTTCGTCAGTACGTATGGCAGGCTGGGAAGGCTTGAGTGCATTCACATTTACCTATATGCGCATTGTCTCTCTAGGTCTCTGAGGGAAAATCAGATCGAGCAGCTACCAGCCGAGGTGTTCCAGAATTTGAACGTACTGTACGCTTTGTAAGTTGTGTTTGATTGTATACTGAGACTCACTGATTTCATACTTCACTCATCTACGGCTTCGTTTGCGATTGATTGCCTAATATGTCTTATACTTACTTATACAGAGATTTGTCCTTCAACAATAAGCTGTCGTCCATACCAGATGGTGCGTTTTCTGGCCTCAAGCAATTGGAAGTATTGTGAGAGAAAATTTATTTTAAAACATATAATCTGTTTGTAAATAGAATAAGAGAGATGGTAAGTTTTAAGCTCGGTAAAGAAGTACAGAAAGATCTTTTACGTCTTCAGTTGTCATGAGACTGGAACAAAGAAAAAATTTGGGGTTCCCATGGGATTCGATTCCTCATGGGGACTCAGAATTTTTATTTGTCCCAGGCTCGTGAAAACACGAAAAACGTCTTACTCCATTCAACCTGCTTTTATCAAAACTTACTTGGTAACCCTAAAACATGCTAATTAGATAGCTATTATTTGAAAACTCTTTATATTGAGATCAAATCTGCCTTTTCTTCTCCTTTGTTTTTTGTTTTGAAACAGTTAGAGCACAAAATAAAAAAGGCGTACTCTGAACATCAATGTCATTTTCCTTTAATTAGGTTTCTGCACTTCAACAACATCTCAAAAATTAGCAGCCTTACCTTTGCTGGGCTTAGAAATCTGAGGATGCTGTAAGTAATCTTTTCTCTTTAAGTAAACACGAAGAAATTTGAATTTTGAGTGTATTATATGAAACGTTTAGAAATCAATTTTAAGATACTGTACCTAACAAAACATACAGAAACAGCAAAAATAAACGTTTACTCTAAAATAGCGCGGAAGAACTAATTAATACAGAACATTACTGGAGCCCTTACTCCTAATCTCTGAGAGAGAGAGAGCTGTGCGTAAGAATGGTTTAGCAGAAAGCTTGAAGCGTCCGTCTTGTTTTTTTTTTTTAAGGATGCTTGTCAACAACAGTCTGGCTTCTCTTCCTGAAAAGGCTTTTGCTGAAATGTCTTTGAGCTTTTTGTAAGTAACTTGAAATCTTCGAATTATTTGCAAATTCTAAGGTGTCATGGAGATCATTAATATTTGTAGATTACTTACGAGATTGTTTGATTCTCTGTTTATTGTTATCTGTAGGTTTTTACATGGAAACCGAATCAAAAACATTGATGCGAATGCTTTTCGCGGCCTCACTGATCTGCGTTTGGTGTAAGTTGCAATTGTATTGAATAGAAGTAAACTGATATGCTTTTCTTTCAGCTTCGCACATAGTTCTAAAGTATTTAGCATTTTAAACAAGTTCAATGTCGATCAATTTGTAGTTGGTTTGTCTAAATCAGTATCACAATCTTGATGATTTTATGTCAAGTTTCCCCTTGGCTCTTTTTTGTACGGGATAGCATCAAATGTATTCTGCGTGAGGGAAAGTGCCATTTTAAAGCAATTCATTCTTAATCATATAATAATCCTATCATATAAACAAATTAACTTCTTGAATTCTAGGACGCTATTTGAAAATCCCGCCTTAATGTCACTTCCAAGAAATGTATTCAATGGACTGACTGAAAATGTTACTTTGTAAGTATAGATAGTTCTCAATCTACTAACTATGATACATTTCTTCAAGGCCCTTTTGCATTCAATAAATATGAACTTTGAGTCATTAATACAATTACATACCCACTGTTCCTCATTGTAGTTGCTTGGATAAAGATTTTTATTTGAGATATTTGACAATTTGTAATTCAAGTTGGTTATACCTTTCGAGAGAGACATCTTGTCTTTTTGAGATTACCGAAACCTCTGGTGATGCCAACTAACTTGAAGGTGTTTAACCATGCAGTGATAAATAACAAACTGCACAATAATTTTTTCTTGACTGATCCTGATCTTCGTGCACGGTTCTGACCAAATGAGTCACCTCATTTGAACCTACTAAAAAAAAACGATCAAAGAGGATGATTCTAACACCTCGAACAAAGATACTTTCGAGACACTCCAGATTCGAAAGTCTAAATGGACTCCCCCAGAGGGCCAGTTCTCATCTTTAGATTTTTTCCTCAAAAAATGTCGCCATGATATCAACAAACTTAAATTCAATCGTTACACCAAATTTTCCAATCTTTCTTCGGAAGAGTGGTCGGCACTAAAAAGTCTAAAAAAACGCAAAGACATTGTCATTAAGGCGGCCGACAAAGGCGGTGCAGTTGTTGTTTGGCGGGCCGACCTCTACCAAAAAGAAACTTTGCGGCAACTTTCTGACACCTCCTTTTATGCTCAAGTCGACAAAGATCTCACTTTAATTAACCAAAACATTGTCAAAAATACGATTAACGATCTTATAGCTAAACAAGAATTGCCGGCCACTGCTAAAAATCTCATCATTACCTTTCTTAGAACTTCGTGTATTTACTTTTTACCTAAAATCCACAAACCTAACAACCCAGATCGACCCATCGTTTCTGCCTGCAGTTGTCCCATCGAACTTATTTCCAGCTATTTAGACTAAATTATGGCACCTATCGTCAAAACTTTACCGTCTTACATTAAGGACAGCCAACACGCACTTGAAATTTTTCGTGACTTTAGTTTCCTCGACCAAAACAAACTTATTTTCACCATGGATATAACATCTCTTTACACTGTCATTCCCAATGACGAAGGTCTCCGGGCCCTCAAACATTTTTTCGATCAACGCTTTGTTAAGGAACCTAGCTCTGAAACACTACTCCGTCTGGCCGAACTAGTACTCACACTCAATTGCTTTTCATTCGGTGGTAACTACTACAAACAAACTAATGGCGTGGCCATGGGTATGAAAATGGGACCTAGCTACGCCAATCTTTTTGTAGGTTTTATCGAACATCAATTTTTTAGCCAATACCACGGCCCAAAACCTGAACTCTACGGCTGCTACATTGACGATTGCATCGGCGCTACCTCCTCTACCAAAGAGGACCTCACTCAATTTATAACCGCCGTCAATTCCTTTCATCTGGCTCTTAAATATACCTGGGAAATTTCCGACACTTCTTTGGCTTTTCTAGACATCAAAATTTCAATTGAAGGCAACGGCTTATGTACTAGTGTTTACTACAAACCTACAGATTCACATAGTTACTTGTTGTATTCATCCTCACATCCATCACACGTCAAGAACTCCATACCTCTTTCACAGTTTCTCAGACTTCGTCGTCTATGTAGTGACGACTCTGATTTTTCCGAAAAATCAGAGGCAATGTGCCAGTTTTTCGATAAACGTGGCTATCCTGTTTCTGTCGTTCAAGCGGCCTACCACCGTACCCAACAAATCGATCGACAGGCAGCACTACAAACGGCCGAGAAGGAAAACACTGACCGCATTCCATTTACTCTAACATTTCACCCTCACAACCACGCAGTTAAATCTATCATTCTTAAAAATTTTAAATTACTCCAAAACGATTCAGAGACTGGCACTATCTTTTCGCAACCCCCACTTATTTCATTCAAACGTGACAAAAACATAGGCAACTTTTTAGTCAGGAGTTCATTTCAAACCAATGACCAATCTGGAACTTTTAAATGCGCTCGCTCACGATGCAAAACTTGTCCTTTCATTCACAACGTAGAGAAAATATCGGGACCTAAAAGATCCATTAAGATCATTGATCACTTTACGTGTACCTCCGCCAATGTTATTTACTGCATAACTTGCACTTATTGCAATAAGTTATACATCGGCGAAACAGGAAGACGACTGGGTGACCGATTCCGAGAACACCTTCGCGATGTGGAAAGAAATGACAAGGACGCATCCAAACCAGTCGCTAGACACTTTAATCTTCCTAATCATTCTAAACAGCATATGGCAGTTTGCGGCCTTTCCTTACATCTAGGCAGTTCGGAAAGCCGTAAAACACTAGAACAAAAATTTATATTCCAAATCGGCACCCTTAATCCCCACGGAATCAACGAGCGCTTTTCATTCAACTAATTTATTACTGTTTTCTCGTCACCACATTCCCACCAATGGCGTAGCCCCACTTTCTGCATATAAATCCACACACAACCCACAATTCCTCTAATCGCTCTGATGAAGGGCGAACGCTCGAAACGTCGGCTTTTTTACCCTTTACGGTGGCTAATTTACGATTTCAACCCAGTTGTTAACACTAAATTACCTGCTCTACTCTCCCACCGACGCAGCACCACAGTTTCTTTAGAAACTTACCCCTTTACTAATTGTCAATTTTCTTAAGCATACCTCAAACTTCATCGTAAAGTTAAAAGGTTTGAACTTCTTTTTAGGGTTGTCTCCTGCAAAACCCTCAAAGAGCTTCCTCGAGGGATAAACGAAGCAAGGGTGTAAGTAAAAGGTCATGTAGAGCCGTTTTGGTTGTAATTCAAGATCGCTCGGGTTTTGCTGTAAAACTCAGATTAAAAATAACGATTGATTAACCTTGACTTGATAATGTATACAGCTATTTCAATTTACGTTGTCGGATCAAAGCTTCAAGGGTACGGGACAAGACCGAAAGGCGGCATGACATCCATAAAGCAGCTGCAAACTCATCCACTTGAAACCCCAACATTTCTTTCATCCAAATGGCTCGCCATCGGAGATCTTCGCTGTATGGACGAGGCATTGTTAATTTTGCTGATAATTATTCATTAAGATCCCATATTCCCCTTCGGTCTTGTCTTGTAGGCTTGAGGCTTTGATCCGACAACGTAAATTGAAATAGCTGTATCAACAAAGAAAAGAACATTACAGATCAGTCATTCTTTGCTGCCTCGAGGTCATTTACATATAGGGTGCTCAAGTATATATATTATCTTCGGTTTGATCTACTTTATCAGTTGCAGTAAAATCCGGCTGTGATGTGCTCTGCTGTCTTGTGCAATAATGTATCATGTTTGAACTTTCATCAATGATTTGTCATATTCAGTATCTTTTGGTCTGGTTTGGTGTGGGTCTGAATCCAGGCCATTTCATTTGCCTAACATATAAGCTTTGTGGAACTCTTTAACCTTGAATTACAGTGAACTGTTGCGCCGGCTTTTCACCCTTTTGGTTTTATTAACAAGTTTTTGTTTTAATTTCTTTCATCAGTGTATGTGCTCCAACAGAATCTTTGTTTGTAATCGTCTCTTACCGAGAACGCCGCTATCAGCGGGATGGTCTTCTAGCCTCCGGCTTTATGTGTCCTAAATGCAGAAAGGAGGTCTATCCCAGATGCCTTAATTGTAGCCTTTGCTCGACGGGCACCTACAGCAGCCGTGATACTACGAATACACATTGCTTGAAGTGCCCTGCAGGTAAATACGATGCTTTACATATTGCAATTTGTTTTTGGAGACATTTACGTTTAGCTAAAAACCATAAAATGAGTGTCTGATCTCAATGGATAGAGTATTGCTCCCAAATGTTTTATTTTTAGGAGGCTTTTACCAAGACGAAATGGGCCAAATTGACTGTAAGAATTGCTCCATTGGCACTTATGTTCCTGAGATTAACTACCCTGGAAAATCCGCGACTGACTGTCGTGCATGCCCTTACGGTAAGAGAAAATAATGAGTGAAATTGAGTTTTGAAAAATTGAGGCCTTGAGAATTATAGAAAAGTAGACTTCTTGTTACCACTGTTTATCAAACAGGTACCCAATCTGACAAACCTGCTGGTTATCGTGCATGCAGTTGTCTCCCACATTTCTTCCGCCTAGATCGTTTTGGCCCTTGTTCAGCATGTGAAGAGCATGGAATGGTATGTCAGTCAGATACAGCAATTTTGGCGCCAAAGTACTTTTGGAAATTTAACAGCTCAGAACAAATGAACCATTACAAAGAATTTGTTCTTAACATTCAAATCTTCAATGCTGAATATAACCGTGACTTTTCCAGTTATCGCGCTTTGTTACCAACCCCTATCAAATGCCCCTTTACAGATTCGTGCAATGGTGGTATTGAATCATCGTGTACAGAAGGATACGAGGGTACCCTCTGCGCAACTTGCTCCTCAAATCACTTTCTCCGTTTTAACAGATGCTTAGAGTGTCCTAGCATGTTGGTAACAGTAATTTCCTGTGTTTTGGTCATCGTGGTATTTATTATTCTGTTTTTACTTATATTCTGGGGCGACTCAAACGCTGCAAATGGCGAACGTGGAGGTACTGCGGCAGATGTGGTAATGTCTTGTGTAAAAATCGTGGTTGGCTTTTATCAAGTGGCCTCCGGTATTTTCTCAGCGTTACGGCAAGTTCAATGGCCTGTAGTTCTTGTCTCTATGGAAAAATACCTGAAGTTTGTCGAAGGGAACATCTTGCAGTTCGCACCATTGAGCTGCATTGACCCAGTGTTTCGACTGGATCCATTCATGCAATTTTGTCTTTCTATCTCTATCAATATCTCAGTAGTTTTGTTAATACTGATCTACTTATTACTTAAGAGACAATACATCAAAAAGTTAGAGATTTCTGACCTCCAAAAAAAGGATGAAATTTCACATTTGAAAAAGTCATGCTACCGAAACATATTCCTATTTCTTCTGTTGTCTTACCCAATAACGAGCAAGAAAATTATCAATGTCATTCTGCCCCTGCCAGGAGTCTGTGAGGATGTGTGTTTCACCAAAGATGGCAGTGACTGCATTTCTCTCCTGAAAGCTGATTATTCCATTTCCTGCCACAGTCCAGCAAATGGTGTGTACTGGAAACTAGCAGCCGCATGCGCAATATATCCTCTCCTCTTTCCTCTACTGCTTCTTATTCCTCTTTACAAGTACCGTGAGCCTCGTCTCGATGATGAAATTTGTTTTGGTCTTAAAGTTTTCTTTGAAAACTATAAAGAGAAATATTGGTTCTGGGAGATAATTGAGATGTATCGGAAACTGATCCTCATCTCAGGCATACTTCTGTTTGATTCCACAAGCCAATATCAAATTGTCTGTGCCGTAATTGTTGCAAGTGTATCAGGAATCACTTACAGCATGGCCCGACCCATAAAAGGCAAATTCGAGGATCGATTACAAGCCTTTGTGCTTTGGACGATATTCTTCAATGTCTGCCTCGGTGCAATAACCATGTGCCAAAATCCCATAGAAAACGAGTCCATGTTTGTGAATGTCATATTTGTGCTTCTGAACAGCGCCGTGGTGTTAATTGCTGTGGGTAAGTTTTATTTGTTTACGATAAGCAATGACCGATTTTGCTAATACTGGGATCAGAATGAACGCTGGAACTGGGCAACCTAGTACCAGATCCTTGATGGCCAAGGTGATCATTGATCTCCGTGAGAATGTGTAAATGACCGAAGACATCGCGGAGCGAAAGAAGGCTCGCAAAGATACCCTTTTTAAAACATTAGAGAAGCTCTTCGGGTCTCCTTAAAAGATCTAAACCGCGCGAAACAGGATGGCAAAGAAGCTGTAGCAACTTATTACGGACTTCTGCACAAACCTACGAATTGGAAATAAAAGGTTTTTCTTACAATTCTGTACCTTTCGGGATATTTAAGGTCATTTTCACATCTCCATACAGATCAAAGTCCCCCTCATGGAAAGAAAAAAAGGTTGGCAAACATACAGCTTGCGACGCTTTCTTGGCTCTGTTTCTCTCGCATGACAACAACAATATCGAAGCCGCGCGAAACAACATACCCCTTGAGGGACTTGGTACAGGGTTGTCTAATCCTAACATTTATTGGGACCCTGTATTAGCAAAGTCGTGTATTGCTTAACCGCACTGAATTTATACTGTATGGCTTGGACTTACGGCCGCTAAGCAAGCTGAGGAAAAAAGAGAGCCATCACTCTCCCGGATTGTACAATTTGGGAACAGGACCTCACTTTGAGGTTTTCCAAGACCGACCTCTTTCTCCCCTTTTAAGAAGTTATTTAAAAGGTGTGTTAGCCAGATAATCTGCGTTGTATTACATCTAAGTTATCTCATTCCCTTCTTTGATTTTTACATTTGTCATGACAACCTGTGAGCTACAGTTAGTCATATGCCTATAAAAGGTTCCAGCATCGTTCAATAACTATCTAATTGTTTGGCGCATTCGGAAAGTAAATAACCTAAACATCATGCGATTTTATGGCGCAGATTCTGCATGATCTCGTGTCAATTTTTTTTTCTTCTACAGTTGAAGGCCTCCTTAACTCAAAGTCTAACTGGAGAAATTTCTCCTCTTGCCCGGTGCGATGTTTCCGGATGATGTATGGCAGATGTCGCGATGGTCATGGGAACAGACGGAGTGATTTGTCCCTAATTCAACCACTGACAGAGGAACCATTAGTTTTCGATGAATAAAAAACTTAATTGTTTTGGCTTCATTATGGTAATTTGGTGCAGCAAAGAGAGTACACAGGGATCTCTCATTTTGTTGCTTAGCTGTACCCCCAGCCTAAGTCTGCTGCTTTGCATAGCTACTACGCTGACAAAAAAAAAATTATCTATTTCGCTTCAATTGCATCTGTTGTTCGTCAAATGTTTTCGAAATGTAGATAACAAAGAAAAGTTAGGAAAGTTCAAAGAAATATTTTACAATGCAAAATAGTTCACGAACAGTGTTATGCTTTGCTTCTTTTCTCCGTGTATTTGATTATTTCTTTTTCATTTTTAATTCTATCACAGAAACGTTGAGCAGGAATTTAAGATGTCACTATATAATTACTGGACCTTCGTTTTGTATACCCCACCCATAAGGCCGGAAAGTTAAATATATTTAAACATCTGAAAGGCTTATTTACTAATCATTAATATTTTTACCTGTAGTACATTGCAATTGGCCACATTTACTCCAACACTTAATTGACCCATCTTTTCTTGGGAAAATTGGTTTACAACACTACTACGCCCTCGAGGCAAAACTAAAAAGCCTGGTTTTCATTGAAGAAACGGATCGAGACGATAACTTCTCCCTAGTTTGCAATGATAAAAAAACATCAATATAGATGCGTCAATGGCTATTTTATTATTCCCAATTCCTCTTAAAGTAAATGCTTTGTCTTGAACAACAATAGCGGTAGATATTAATATTTAAAATACCATATGATTTACTAAAACGACATGAGCCTGATCAAAATGTGATCTGGTGAAATTAAGTTAAAGCACGTAATGTTTGGTAAATTGAAAGGGAAGAAGGAAAATAAAAAAGTTTGCATGCGCGGAGTTTCAACGTAATCATGTCGCTTTAAAAAATTTAGCCTAAGGAACATGGGGATAAGTAGGTTGGATTCTTTACGTTTAGGATCATCAAAAGAGGATAAATTTTGAGGGGGGGGAGAACACATTACTTTCAGGGGAACGGAGTGGCATTAGTCGTCGACAACAGAGTATAAAGGGGGGGGGAGGAGGGTCTATAGAAAAGTGACTGCCAATGAGGGGGGATCAGTTAAAAATGTTTCAGAGCCATATGGGGAGATCAGGTAAATTTTTTTGAGACACAGTCAAAACTCATGATTGAACACTGAACGGATCAAAATGTCCCTACACCGGGAATTTTTAACAACCAATTTGTTTATCAACATAAAAAAAAAACATATACCTTGGTCTTCAGGATTTAAAAACTCTGAATTCCCTACAGGGCATAGCGCTCTTGATCTCTCGTGGTATTTGATGTCGGGTTTGAGTTAATAATTGCAAGTCATTCTATAGCAAGTCTATCTTTTCATTTATGAGCGTGAAAAAAAATCGGATCGGAAAGGGCCAGCAAAAACGATTGAGTCTTTTGAAGGCCTCCATTTCCGTTATGGTTGACCCTATCCATTCAGTGACAGAAAATGTAATCTGTTTAATATCTGTCTGATGTAATGCCATCCGTTAGTTTGCTAAATATCTTTTGAGAGCGGTTTCATTCCGCAAGAATCTCTCTACTAGAGAGTCAGTTTTGTCACTAATAATTTTTCCATCGGAATTCTTCCGTTGTTTCGGATAATTTCAACCTTGTTCCCCCACAATAGGGCGTACAGGTAGTTTCGAACAATAATGCCATTCAAACATTATAAATGAGTCAAGTCCATCTATCTTTTTATCTCATCTGTTAAATCATATTGGCTTTTGGTGCAAGTTAATGGCGGTAAATATGACGCGGAAAGGTTAAAGAAAACGTTATACTCTGTAACGCCAAAGCGGCCATTACTCTGCAGTATGGTCTTCCTCCCCCAAGATTGGCTCCAGGACCTCATAATCAGGGTCTCTTTGGTGTCGACAGCCATGCATCAAATGGAGAAGACCCTTTCCTGAAAGGAAAAGAAACGTCACATAGCGGATTAACTTTCCACACTGAAAAGTTACAGAAAAGCAAAACTAAATATTTTTAATAGAAAGTGTGTGTGTGCTATGGAAAAACGTGTAATCCTTCAGGAAAGGTCGGGAGGGATAACGGATAACAATAATCAAAGTTTCCTAACATGTTCATACATTTGGCTCACTGCTAACCAAGTTTAACCAACTTTGATCAGGTTTTTTGTGACTAAATGTGTCAAACGTACCACTTTGTCTCCCAAAGACCGAATCAACTATTTCACCTAAGTATAGTGCAGGTAGGTATTAATGCATTACAGAGATATGCACTTGTCGGTTTAAAGAGCTCATTTACGAAAAAAGTAATTGAACAACTCCGACCAACCCCCTTAAGTCTTCTGCAATGCTGTTACAATGTATTGATCGAAAAAAAAAAAGTTTCCACGATAGGACTTACCAACTGCCACACCCAACACGGCACAGTTGAGAATCAAAAACATCACATTTACAAATAACGAATTGTTGTCTCCATGCCCCTCGTTCAAGGTGGGCCGTGAATAAACTGCACCAAGACAGACATTAAAGAATATTACCCAAAGCACAAATGTTTGTAGTCGATCTTCAAACTTGTCTTTCATCGGTCGAAAGATGGTGTATACAATTCCTGATGCACTTGCTGCGATCACAGCGAAGCCAATTTGAGAATCACCTTCGGAGTCGAACAGAAGAATGACTGAAATAAAGATCAGCTTCCGGTACATCTCAACTATCTCCCAGAACCAATACTTGTCCTTATAGTTTTCATAGAACACTTTCAAGCCAAAGTTAAACTGTTTGTGTTTTTGTGGGTATTTTCGACATTTCCAAAGGAGCGCCAGCAGCAGAATTGGGAAGGCGATGGGATACAATGCAAACCCAGCAGCGATGTGCCAAAAGTCAGTGTGTCGAGAGGTAGAACAGCGAATGGAATAGTCGGCCTTCAGTAGAGAAATACAATCGCTGTCATCATTCAAGAAACACACCTTGACACACGCTCCTGGCAGGGGCAGAATGTTTATAATCTTCTTACTTGTTATTGGATAAGACAACAGGAGAAATAAAAAGATGTTTCGATAGCAAGACTTCTTCAGCTTTGAGAGTTTTTCCCGTTTGGAATCCCGCGTTGAATACTCCGAAGTACTCTCTAGCATGGAATTCTCAATTCCATATAAGGCATTTTCTGCTGTGGTATCCTCCATTCTTTGTAAGGTGTTTCCCGCTATAAAAGTGGAATTGTTTTCATCCGTGGAATTCTCCATCCTGTTAAGGAGAAGCATTTTAAAGAAGAGGTAAAGCAGTATTGAAGAGACAGCAAAGACGTTTATAGTAACAGCGAGGACAAATTGAATAAATGGGTCCAAGCGGAGCACAGGGTGAATGCAACTCAGAGGTGCGAACTGTAAAATATTTCCTTCAACAAACTTCAAGTATTTCGCCGTAGATAAAAGAACTATTGGCCACTGTACATGCAGCAAAGCTGAGAAAATACCAGCAAGAACTTGGTAGAATCCAATAACGATCTTAGTGCATGACATAACGACATCTGCAACAAAACGATTGTCTCCTGCTCGTCTTGAGTCGCCCATGAAAACAATCACAAACAGCAGGACAAAGAACAAAAGTATCAGACCACAAGAAATGACTGTGACCACTAACTTAGGACATTTTAAACATCTGTTGAATCTAAGATAATGGTACGAGGAACATGCCGCACAGAGGGTACCCTGGTAGCCAGTGTTACACTTTGAGTTTATTCCGCCCTTACATGAGTCTGGATAAGGGCACTTCAGAGGCTTTGGCAACTGTCCTTCAAAAATGGAGAAGGTTTTATTGTATTTAGCTGTGGTAATATGAATGTTGTGGACGAAACTTGTATAAAATTCCATTTTTTCGGAGCTGTTCCATTTCCAAAAGTAATTTGGTGCTAATATTGCCGTATCATCCTCACAGTTCATTCCATGATATGGACACGATTTGCAGGGACCAAAACGATTCAAGCGGTAGAATTTATGGAGGCATCGACATGCACGGTAACCAGCGGTTTCATTAGTTCTAGTACCTGTTTACAAACACAGAAATGTTATGTAAACACATTGCGACCAAAATTTCCCAACATGAAAGCCCTTTACTCTTCTGAGAGATCTTTCAGGGACCAGTTGTTCAATGGACGGATACGATAACACTATCAAACGGGTAAATCGCTGTCCAGTGGATAAGTGTTCACAAAACGTACTGCGCTATCCACCAAATTGAGATTTATCCAGTCAAGAGCGCTATCCAGCCTTTGAACAACCAGGGCCAGATGGTAACCACCAGTGCTCTCCACAACATTGTAAACCTATGGTTGCATGGGAAGTGATACACATCAGAGACCACACCAAAATTTACCGACAGCACCTGGTCAGCAATTTACGGTTAGCGACGGGTAGTCGTTTTTCCTCACCGCGCTCTGAAAATTAGCAATACAGGTGTCGAAACAAATGGCTTTTCCTAGCTTGGCTCCACGATCAGTAATGACTCTTAATCGCGAGAAAATGATTAATAATTAGTTTGTGTGTAAAATCATAATGAAAAACAAACACATTTTGCAAAGCATAAAATCATGGTAATCGGACAATAAGATGGTGAGTAAAACCACGCAAGAGTTTGTTATTGAACCTGATCCTTACCGTATGGGCATGCGCGACAGTCATTAGGACTTTTTCCAGGATGCTGTTCCTCAGGAACATAGGTACCCGTGCTGCAAATCTTGCATCCATATTGACCCATCTCATCTTGATAAAAGCCTCCTGAAACGAAGGCATTTTCAGTTAATACGTGTTACTTTTATTTTGAGATCAATGAATAGGCAAAAAAGAAAAAAATGTGCGCAAGCCCTGTTCGCAAGCCTTATGCGCTGGTTTGCGGAAGGAATGAAGGAGCGGAGGAACGAAGGAGTGAATTTTGGTTCGGCGCAATTCTAACAAAATCTTAAAGGGACTGATCCTTGATTTTTTTACTAGGAGCATCTGAATGCATGGAACAAGGCGTCTAGTTTTTCGTGAAAAACGGTAATGAAAAAAAAAACAATAGCATATTATAATCAAAAGACTTAAGTAATTACCTGCGGGACACTTTAAACAATTGGTGTGTGAGTCAACTGTCGGATAATAGGTACCCACCGAGCAAAAACTGCAGTTATAGCACCTGCGTAAAGGACCGTGCCTGTATTTTCGGCACATAAAACCTACGAGTCCCCTCATTACAAACCCAATTTCATCATTGCAGAAGAATACGTGGAAGGTAGCCGACGGAGCACATTCGCTAAAAAAAGAAACAACAGACAGATTGACAATGGCGTAGTTACGTCCACAGCAACACTTGTAGTAGGACACGGCCATCTTTAAGCTATCAAATGATAATTTTGCCCCTGTTATCACCCCTTTAAACAACCACCAAAGCGAAATAGGGTTTATCTTTAGCGCATGAAGAAGACAGTGACAATCGTGTGAATGGTAAAAGCGCCAAAGCCTCTGTAAGCCACGTTTAGTGAAAAAATCTTGTTTAGCGACAGGTTTGCATTTCTCAGAAGGCAGAACTAAGTAGGAGTTTGATTGTTCCACTAGATTATCCTTTACTATTTGCATGACCCCAATTTGCTCATTACCAAGATTTTATGATAATTATTTATTTATTATTTACTTTGTATTAATTTCTAATTTGAATTTGTTGAAAATTGAGCTGGGTGAATGAATTAAGTCTAAGTATAAGTGCATACAGCTAACTCATTGCTCACCCATTTGTTTCTAAGCTTTTCATGACTACTCACATTAAAGGAAAAGTATACTTCCCTCGTGGAATCTTTCGAAGGTTTTTACATGAAACAGCCCTGCAAGATGAAGTACAATCTCTCTCATACGGTTTGTTTTATGATAATTATGATAATGATATGGCCTGAGCAACTAGAATTTGAATTTCTGTTAATCGTCAAGTAACTGCAAAATTATTTTAGATTATTTTCTTGTTCAACTGATCTACAGTTGTACGTTATGTTTCTATTCAATTAAGTTCGCGTTTTTTCGTGAGGTTGTGTAAGAATTACGTAACGCCAGTAGCGTTTTATTTCTCGTCAGTATAAAGTTAGATAATTTTCATCGCTAGTTGATTTCAACTAAGTCAGTCGTTTCGTTATTTTTTGCTAGCGCCGTGTTACTTTTGTTTAAGAGTTTTACTATCGGACCTGGTTACGCCACAAATTGTAAGTTCGTTTCTATTTCAAGTAGCTTTGTCTATATTCTTGCTGTTGTTATATTTGTAATGAGATATTTGTATTAATTATTTATTTTTAGTCAAATCACATTCACATATTACACATCTACACATCTTTACTTTTAAATATTTGTCGATCTGGGAGTTAGATTAAACGTGCATTCAAGTTGTGGCGTAAAACATGTCGTATTTAGCTTCAAGGCCATGCTTTCAAACTGAGAGAACCAGAGTTACAAAGAAAAGCATGTTGTCCAGTCCTTGGCAGACTCAGTGGCTGGGTTATCGTGTTGACCTTTGACCTCTTAGGCAAAACTTTTTACTCTCACAGAGCCTCTCTCCACCCAGGAGTGTAAATGAGTGACAGCCAAAAGTCAGGGAAGCCTGATGAAATGCCGGGGATGTCATTGAGAAAGACTAGCATCTGGTCCCATCCAAGGGGGAGTGGTAATACTCCTAGTCGCTTCATGCTAAGGAAACCGGGATAAGCTTCGGCCAATGGATTATTTGGCTCGAGTTCAGGCTTTATCTTTTAACCTGTTGTACAGTCAACTCAGTTTGGCCAGGTGCTTCAAAACTCGAATGATATACATAAAACATGATCTAATTTAAGTGATGAGGTAACACTTATACGATTAGCCTCGATGACTGCAAATAATCATCTTCAAATTTTTGATAATCCGTTCAAATCGTTGTGGCTAAAACTAAATCATATAATCATACGTCCTGCATAATTTAAAAACATTAAGCTACGCCGCTTAGTTTTTAAAATGTTCGATTCTGCTACTCTTTTGATTGGATGATACTTACAATGTAGCATTTGTATTAATTCCCATGAACATCTGTCTTGGAAGAAATTTTAGGGGATTGTCAAATAGTGTCCTATAAACGAATAAAAAAAGGCACATCTGACTTAAAAATCAATATTAAAAGTATTTTTAATCATTTTTTAATATCGTGTTCATAGTAAATATAGAGCACTTTGATTATTGAATGAATAGTATTTTTTTAATAAAAGATCTGAGACACTACAAGGCCCATAAGTTATTGGTCAAAATCTATCTTTTGTTGGTCTTTATTGCACCGGTAAACCGATAGAAAATTGAAACATTGAAAAGTTATTTTGTAAAAGCGAAAGACTGCCCTCTCTATCAGTTTACCGTGTCGGAGGCGAGTAATCCACAAACTTTTCAAGTGTTCTTCCAACATCCTGTGCGGATCATTATTCCGGTAAAACCTGTAGAAAGTGCGGTCTATCACTTCATTTAATGATTGAGAAACACGAACTTCTTTGTTTTGTGAGAGATTTAATATGTGATCTTGTCTTGATCTCAAACCAACCAAAAGCTATGAAGAAAAACATCCTTTTAGATGTCGATTATGCATATTTTTCTTGAATGAAAAGGGATTTTTCTTATTTTATAACTTACATCGATTTAAGGTCACTGAGGCCTCGAAAACCGTTGCTATCAACATCTTTGATTCTGTTTCCGTGAAGGAACCTGTTTAAAGTGACAGTAAGATTGTTGGAGAAGGAGCACAACAGGTTAAGTTCTACTCAAGCCATATCGACTCAGGTTATGCAATTTTCTTAATTATGGGGAGCCTCTGATTTTCAATTAAGAAAGAAGCTATAAAGTTTATGAGTTAATCATTTTTCATACGCTCAACGTTCGAGTGTTTCCCCGTATCATCCCGTTTTTTCTTAAAAAATAACGTTATTGTATGAAAATTAAAAAGGAGAACTCCAAAGTACTTACAAAATTTGTAACGGAGTGTCAGCAAAAGTGTTTTCAGGAATGAAAGCCAGACTGTTGTTTACGAGCGACCTAATGTTAAAAGGAGTAAAAGATTGTGGCACGATGATTATTAATAGTATATACATTATATACATATAGAGACTATATACATTATAAAGCAGAATGAATTACTGGTAATATCTTGCATGCGACGCCGATCCCTCACAGGTAATCACTCAGCATATTCCCGGCTTCGATTGACAGTTTGAATTGGCGCCCGTTTGCAAAGAAAACTATGGACAGCAGATTGATCTTAATTGTATAAGTCATGATGCGTGACTTGATTAAACAGCTCAAACAAACTCCATTTAATTTGCTTGTTATATAAATCTTCTTTATCATCGAGGAAAACAGGTTTAAAATGGCGAAGTACAAGAGGATAGGTAAAAATGAGGGCCTTGAATTTCAAGTTCTTTTAATGATGATTCTTTGTCGACGTGTGTGAGTGCTGTAATTGGCTATGGCGAGCCTTTGTGAAAAGAACAGGATATACATACAACATGCGCAGATTTTTGAGCCCAGCGAATGAGCGGCGGCTGATTTCTGAGATGTAATTGTAACTTAACGTCCTTCAGAGAAAAAGAAAACATAAAATGAATACATTAATTCGAGTTTATCGTTATTCGGTTTTATGTATCGTAAAGTGATCAGAATATCAGAATACTACGTTCAAGTTAGTTTAGTTTTTCTTTTCTTTCTTTTTCTTTTCAATCAAACACAGTAGAGCATAACATCAAAGAGAGAAGATGCAGAATGTGATCCGACATCACAAAATGTCATCTTGTTACTCACAACCGAGATAACTGTTTGCACCCAGAAAACGCATCATGTGGTATGAAGTGGAGATTATTGAAGGACAAATCCCTGTGAAGAGAAACAGACAGACAGGCTGTGTAAAAGACTAATCATTATTTTCGCCGGGGGGAAAGGGTTTTTGAGGAGATCACATGGTTTTCAGAGGAGAGGGGGGTTCGTACGTCATCAACAGAGTATAAGGGGGGACCGTATGATATTGATCACTAATTAACTGCCAATCAGGGAGGGGATCATCAGAGTCTTACAGAGGATCAGGTACACAAAATTCTTCCTCACCTTCCTCGCCTTTCCCCCCTCCCCCCCCCTCCCCCCCGCGCCGGCTCAATAAATAATGACTGGCATGACTGGCTCCCAAGCGATTTAATGTACGGAAATAGATCTAGGGGAAGATTCAGAACGATCTTTAATGAGGATGTCTTTACTTTTTTACTTGCACTGGGTAATTTAGACAGACTTACAAAGTGTATGTGACGGGTAACTTCTGAAAGATGTCGGTTTGCAGTTCTTTGATGTCATTATTTCCTAATAACCTGCATGCGAGAACATCAGGAAGTGAGCAGTATCACTGAGTTAATCTTCGTTGATTTAGATGTCTTTCTTTTCCTGCACTGATATTTCTTAATTGCAGAGACTTTTTTAAACATCTTGATAAATAAGGATCACAGTTGATCGAAGAAAAATGCTGCAATCTGATTGGCTGTGCCTGCCAATCTCCATTCCGTGATAGATAGTGAACAATGGTGGGTAGCCTAAGAGGAGGATACAAAATATGAGTCTTTAAAAGTTTAAACGATCAAAAGGTTTTTATGTCTATAAAAAATTACAATTATATCATTCTCTCTCGATTTCTATGTGGTATTGTGACGTGTCTATACGACCGAGCCAAACACCTCACAACGAAACCGTCAGTTAGCTCTGAGGAAAAGAAACACTTGTCATCAGTAATTGTTTCTGATGGTTATCCGTCTTCACTTGTACGAGAACTCGCAAAGACAACAAGGTTAAAAGCCAACAAAGAACCCGCGCAGGAATCTAAATCTACTGCCGTTCTCCCCTACATAAAGGGTGTATCAGAGGTTCTTACAAGGCATACGAACCGTTTTCAAGTCGGATACAACGCTTAATTTGATCTCATTCAGTACGACCTAAAGACGCCCTGGAACCATCAAAACAAGACGGCGTCGTTTACAAGATCCCATGCGAATGCGACAAAGTGTATATCGGTAAAACAGCGAGATCAATGCGAGAAAGGGTAAAAGAACAGGGCAGAGACATACGGTTTGCTCGTACTAAGACCTCTGCGCTTTCGGAGCACGCTAATGAAATGGGGCACATTCCTATTTGGAGCAAGGTTAAGTTTATTGATTATGACCCTCACTGCAACACACGTAGGGTCAAAGAGGCTATCCATATAAAACTTCATCCCGGCAGCATCAATAGGGATAGCGGAATCGACATTCCCCAAGCATGGATACCCACGATCAAACAACACAACAGCCGGTTGATGAGGACCTATGAGGGAACACATCTAACAGCCGGAATAATAATGAGGATCGAAATGCATCAATACAAGCGTATCAATCGCATGATGAAAACTAGCAGTATTGCAGTCAAAACGTCGCGATCTACATCAAAAGTGACTCTATCGTGAGACAAATGAACAAAGTTTATCTCCAATTGTATCATTCTCTCTCGATATCCATCGTTTCGTTATCTATTACGCGATAGAAAGCTCTCTAACTGATGGTAAGAGAGACTTTGACGACGAATTACAAAGCGCTTGCTATTGTATCCTTTTGACCGGTACAGAATTTATACATATTGGCTTTCTATTCTTGTGAAGATTCGTTTTGCAAAGTAACAAGAAAAAGAATCGATGCACTGCGGAGAATAACAAGATATACAGTAAAAATATTTGCCTACAAGTCTTTCACATGTTTTAAAGTTGGGCTGTTGAGTCGTGATATGTCCTTGATTTTGTTATATTGCATTTCTCTACAAAATAAAAAGAAAGATGAATATTAGATTAAAGCGAATTAAATAACACTTTTTTCCTTTAATGAATTCTCCGAGCCACCCTCGAATCTAAACGTCTCTGCAGTGACCATTGAAGAGGAAGTTGACATTACAAAAAAACCGCAGGCGCGCCGCCGCGCAGGGTACTGGCGTGCTAAACTGAAGTGCTAAACGTTGCCCTAAGTTTGTCTTAAGATGATTCCAGTTATCATTGACCTTTCCTGCCGGAAAAGAATATTCAGTCACTTTACCAGAATGAAATTTATGTGCTTCTGGAATGTCTTCACATGCAAGAGTGGATGGGACCTCACCAGCTAATCTTGTTGTCACATCTGGTTGTAATAATTCATCGATCTCTGGGAAATTACTTAATCCCAAGGATAACAAATTTATCTTACGCAGGAGATAGGGCGGCAGAGTGGTCACGGCGCCGGACTTGTAGTCTACTGGTCTCAATTCCTCTAACTTTCTAGTCACTGGATTAGCTGCTCCCTTTATAAAGAGGCTAAAAATAGCCAACTTGTTTATTCCTTGCCAATTGGGTGATTTTTTTGTTCTCAATCTGTCAATCAATTGGAATGTGTCCACACTGGCTTTAAGGAGCCGCATAATCTGGTACCCAGATATTACCGTGTACCTGTAACTGAAATGAATGAAAGTGACCCTCGAAGTGATGTGCACTACTTAAGCAGTAGTGAAAATAAGGCCTGAAAAAAATTCAGGCCTGTACGGGTTTTTTTTTTTTTTTTTTCCAGGCCATATTTTCACTACTGCTTAAGTAGTGCACATTACTGCATATATTCTTAACCGTGTAACTGAAATGTAAGATTTTGCAACCGCTTGGCCGTGAAAGGTCTGGTTACGAGACTGGGAGCCGCATTTAAATAGCTGATTACGTAACTATTTAAATAGGTAAGGTGAAATGGTATGTGGTGATCAGTGAACAGGACTAATTCACAGCGTAAATCACTTACAACTTAACCAAACTAGTGAGGCCAGTTAAATCTGGAACATATGTTAACTTGTTGGTTTTCAGAAGTCTGGAAAAGAAACAAAAAAATTCACTTCAAACAAACCATTACGGGTAGAGCTACAGCCACCATTACTACAACTGCTAACACCATTATTACGATTAGCCATGGAGAATAATACATGGGCGCGCGTAGATATGGAATTTCGCTTCGAGTTGAACACGAATATATAATAAATGTTTAACACGTTTATCAAATGAACATAATAGCCCCATACCGACAAGAAAAGTGGACTTTAATCCACAATCCCCGTATAAAAATCATAAAGTGCGTTGGCGCACTCACTATGGGAACATGCGTTGAATCACTACAAAACAAACAAGAAGCCTAATTTTCAATATGCAAAATTCTCAGTTATTGACTTAGTCCTTACCGACAAAGAAATCTTTCAGTTACACGGCCAAAATCGGCATATGGCAAATCTTCCAGCTGTCGATTTTCGTTCTCAGCCACGAGAAATGCCAGTACCAAAGCCACTAAATACGTAACTTTCGGTTTTCCTTTTCATATTTTGGTTTTCTTCCTCTTCGAGGAAAGTTTGAACGTCTCTGTCCGTAAGCGATACATATTTTTTAGTGTTTTAGCAGCCATAATCCGAAAAAATTCCGACAAACGAACTTGGATTGAGAATGGTGAAGGCTTTGCCGTTCATTCATCAACCTGACCGAGTGGCGCGAAAGGCGAGTTACGTATCAGCAGCTGATTGGCGATACCAAACACACGTGAAAAAACATAAATAACTGATTTATGATAAAAGAATTTATCGTTCCCCACATAAGAGAAAGCTCTGATTGGTCTTAGTGAGTCAAACCTAGGACCCTCACTATTTAGCTAGAAGGATCCCCTTCTGTTCTCCCTGAAAAGAGGGTCTCAACGGAGTCAACAGTTGGTCGTAAAACATTTGTTAATCACGAGTATGATTACAGACAGAATTGGACGACACCAAGTCCTGTTACCAATTAATCAAAACTACGACAAAATTTGAGAAAGAAAGGGCATTGGTTATACGTTTTCATAAAAAAAAAAGTTACAGTGAATTAACTCGGCAAAATGCGAGACAACAACGCGCGCACATGACGCGTTCTGTCCACTTACACAGGCATGGCTTGTTAACTGTCCTATTACACTGTCCAAATACAAGCATGACGCGCACGCTGTCCTATTCGTGCTCAAATTGCACCGGTGATAACTAATCACGTTCGAGAATTTTGTAATAGTTTTGATAAATAATGGTAATAGGACCGAGTGGAGTCCAATTAGGTCTGTAATCATACGAGTGATTAACAAAATCGGACGATCGCGAAGCGGAAGTCCAATTTGTCAATCACTCGTATGATTACAGAACGAATTGAACGACAAGAAGTCCTGTTATCAATTAATCATAACCATTTAAATTTCTGAAAAAGCAAATACACCTTAAACAAATATCTCCAGTGGAGACAATGTTTTTAGTTAAAAATTCCTCCATAATGGAAACTCCCCAGTTTTTCTTTGGATAAGTGATTGTTGCTTTCGTTATTTTGATCATTTCTGTGATAATACAGGTGTCCGATTACAGCCAACTGTCCGATCACAGCTGTACAGAATGATTAGTGAAATATGAAGCGCGAATGTACCAACAATATTTGAGGAATTTGTAATGGTTGTGATTAACCATTTAACTGCAGACGACCGTCATTGTAAGAAGGCACTAAGTCAAACATCTTATAATACATTTGAGGAATTTGTAATGATTGTGATTAACAATTTAACTGCAGAATCTAAATGGAGGCGGGAAAATACGATACAATGTTTACAAGGACAAAGAGCACTTACAAAGAATGGAGGCTCTTGAAACGACTAAATGTTCCATCAAGAATCATTGAAAGAGAATTGAAAGGTAGATCCCTGTGAGAAATTAAAATCAGTAATTGAACCAGGAAAGTTACAGTGACTACAGTCATTGCAGTCACGTGGAAAGAAACTAAAACTTTTCCAAAAGAAGAGTTCTTAGTTAGAGAAAAGGCTTTAGATAAATAACACATGCCGCCAATTTCAAGTTTTATTACCCCGTTAAAAGCCAAGCGAACTCAAACTTCGCTTCAAAAACGTTTCATCTCTTTGGAGAAATCTACGTTCGGTTTCTCGAGTCATTTTCGGGCGGATTGCAGCCATTTTTCGGTTTCTTGGGTCATTTTCGGACAAAGTGTAGTCATTTTTTTAAAAGCTTCATCCCACCCCTCTAAACATGCACATCTCAGCTACAGAAATGGCTCAATTTGGACGACCATGACCATTTCGCAATTCTCTTTACTTACAAATGGTGAAGATTATCAGAAAGTCCTTTGAAGGTCCCCGGCTCCATACGAGACAACATGTTGAAAGTAAGGTCCCTGAAAGTTCAAGGTAGAATAATGACAACCTTTAAATTTTTCTCACAATTCGTTAAACACTATTTAATGGCTAAGGAGGAAAACCGTTCAGATATTATAAAATGGGTTGGAAGAAAATAAAAATATTGGATACTTACAGGTAAGTTAATTGCTCCATCGATTTAAAGGTTCCGCTCTCAATATGCTTTAGTCCACATTCTCTCAAATATCTAGTAAGGCAGTAAGTATTAAATATGGTTAAAAAATAAGAACCCAAGTAGATTATAGTTGCATTTAAAGCACTCGTTTTTCAGATCAAAGCATTGTTAATGATAACATGACCTTTTCACTGATTCCAACAGAAAGGCTAGGTGAACGATACTTGGTTAGCGAGAGATTAGGAACTCTTGTGATTAGTTACTTACAGAAAGATCATATTTTCACAGCCTTCAAAAGTGTCTTCTGTCAAGTTAGGTCCGATCGGATTTCCAGTTATATCTCTGTGACAATGGATACCAAAAATATATCAGCTTAATTCATGGCAAAGCATTGTGTTGCAGCCTTACATTTCGTGCTCAGAAACTGGACTCGTATCTTGGGATACACATCTTATAGGTTAAATGAAATATAAAGCAATTATATGACACTTAAGCTAAAGAGCTTTCATTAGAGTAAAAATGCTATACCCTATCAATGAAATTGCTATGGTCGGAGTCGTGAAATATTCAACATGTAATTAGGCATACTTACAAATTTTTGATTCTCTTGGAATGTTTCAAAATAAGTTTCAGGTCAATCAAAGATAGTCTATTAAAGCGTACTAAGCTGTTTTCCCACTTCAATCACTTTGGAAGGCCCAAACGTGGATTAATTTCTATCATTCAGAAAATAGAGAATCCTAGCTAGATCACGTACAGTAAAAACCGAATAAATACGTTCCTCTTTTCATGCCAAATATATTGTTGAGATAAAGGGCGGAGAGCATCATAAATAGAAATTTTCAACCTACACATCCTTAAGCAACGTCAGGTTTGCGAAAGCGTCCTCTTTGATAAACATCAGATGGTTACCTGAAAGATTCCTGAAAAAAAAAGCATATACATACGTGATTTTACATTGAAGAAATGTAAAATGGTTTCCGTGTTTACATAGCCTGATGTAAATACATTTCTTTTATAAAATAACTAATGAAAGAGGAACGAAAACCGTGTTTACATACGCTCATGCAAAATGGTTTTATGGCCAATCAGAGCGCGCGTACTATTTGAATTATTTTAGAAAATCATTTTCACCACGTACGTACCGACAACGGCTAGACGCATTATATTTTCGAAGAAGAAACTCTAGTTATACTGCAACAATTCGCATTAAATTTCTTTCGGCGTTCTGGCTTATTTTTCCGCGGAGTAAGACAGCATGGTCATCAGTCTCAATTTACCGATATTGGAGCTTATTTTAGAGATAAAGGGTGTCCCAGACAAGAGTTTTTTGTGGCTTCAGTCAATTTAATGATTGGATTTCGATAGACTTTGTTTCGTATGTAATTCCCTCGAAAGTCACCTCATTCATGTAACCTTTCTTATCTTTGTTGACCTGTTCTTAAAAAGCCTTTGAGTTTCTTAAGACCTATTTTTTATTTCTGCCGCATTAACCGTTCACTTTAGGAAGATAACTTATCATGAATTTTTTCCGGGTTGTTGTTTGATATGCATGAGTCGTCAGAGTCAGGTTTTATAATGTGTTGACAAATGTTGCAAAAGTGTTACCTTAAAACATAAAAATTGTGGCGACTTTTCCTCATCCAATTAAAGGCAGAGTAAATTTGAATATAAGGATTCCTCTTCAGGGGGAACAAGTTCTCACTCACAATTGCACTCACAATTGCACTGTATTTGATGGCAAATCATCAGGCACTTGAGTAATTCCAGAGCACTTCACACGAGTTTGATTACGGCCAAAAGGTGTACAAGTACAAGTCCCTGGACGAACGTCTTCTAAACAACACAATCCTAAAGCTGCGGATGACAGCACAATCAAAAACTGTATCAGAGGCAGACATGCCGAAGGTCGGACCTCAGAAACCTTGTCCATCTATGAAAGGAAAGTAAATACATGCCTTAAGGTTTCGTAAGCCCGCACATACCTGAGCGAGAGTGATACTAGCGCTAGCTCAACCGAGTAGGAAATGCCTTGGATTTATATATTTCGGTCTCGGCACCAATTTCGGAGATATCAATCAGACTGAATTGTGTATGATCTTGTGTTTATTCCATTCAGCCAAAGCTAAAAGTATCTAATTAGTGACGTACATAACGATGACTAATTATACGAACATAATTTACAGTTAACGTACTGATTTCGTTACAATGTAAAAGGAAAAAACAAAGTTGAAAAAACAGCGCGGGAGCAAGGTCATTGTCTGGACAGTTGAGTTTTTGTTTAGAGAGCGATTTTTCATATTTATTCTTTGCTTGATTATGGGCGTCTGTCTCCCTCAGAAATGTTGTCGTAAAAACATCGCTTTCAACTGTAAATCGTGCATTTATGAATTTCCAGATGGAATTCAAATTTTACATCTTATATAAAAGCTTCTCTTCACTTCTAAATTTGACTCGTAACTCAATTATGCTTAAGCTTTAAAGAAATTTTAAAACAAAATGAATCAGTCATAAAATCATTACATATCAAACACCACCGTCGGCTGAATGATTTTAAGTCAAAACCCGCTGAATGGATATCAGGATTTCTATGCAATATGCTTGAACAAACCTCAGTGTGGCTTTTATCGAGCTTCCGTGACGACCAACCTCTGCGAATTTCTTTTTCCTTCTATACCCTGATATTCAGTTTAAATTGTAAACTACTTGTTCCTTGATCCCATCCTTTTATGATGATTTTTATTGACCCCATCAGACATAGGTTCGATCTAGAAACAGATGGCACTGACAGAAACTGATACTTCATATCAATTACTAATGCTGATGAAACATCATCCAATGTCAGCAGCTATAATCAAGAATAGGCCTGACAATTTTTTTTCCTTGATAGTTCTTTTTTTAAATGTTTGGATGGAAGCATTCCTTGTCCAAAATCCTGTTCTATTAGACTTTTTTGTTGTTCAGTTTTCAGTCGCCATAAACCTAACTATATAGATACATCCTTCACTTGCGAGAAATCCTGAACTTGGACAATGTTATCTTAAGAATTTCATCGCTAATTACGAGAGGTTGTTAATGACTTTCAGAACTTTAAGAATAATGAATGCAGTTTGCCTTTCATAACTAGCATCAGTTCACTGATTGTAGTTCTCAAAACGAAGTTGATCACTTGTATCCAATGCAAAACATAAGGAATTAAGTTGATCCGAAACAAATATGTATTAAAAAGCGAAACCGGGAATTCAAACAAATTTCGAACAAAGCTAAATGACCTGTATTTTGATGGTTTGTCATTTATGTTGCAGCCGCCAAGATAGATCAGGCCTGTCACGAAAAACTCTGTTATCGACAAGAAATCAACTATTGGCGTGAAATCTTAAAAAATCAAAGGATTTTCGTTTCGATTCACAACTTTCGTGAAACTTCTGAACTGATGGGGGATGCTACTAAAATTAGATTTCTTTAAATCGTTTAATGAACCAATTCAAAAAAACTTATTTGTAAAAGATTGTCTTTAAAAGTGGTATAATTTTCCAGGTAACTTCAGTTTGCAATGACACCGACGCTTGAGAATTTAAGAAAGGTATCCAAACTCACAACCTGGCTCATTTCCATGATCACTCGAAAGTCAAACTGTTAGCTATCAATCTATCAAATGATTCAAAAGATCGTTTACATGTATCGAAACCTCCTAATCAAAAGAAGCTAGAAATGTATTAGAGCTAGTTGAAAAGAAGTCCTCCTCATCAGATTTGCGGAACTGTCCAAGGTAAGCTATTAACAGAATCTGAAATGTAGGGAATTGACATGCAATAATTTTCCTTCATTGAGTTATGCAAGTCAGCCAAGAAAACATGATAGACTCTCAGACTTGGTTTTATGCTACTCTGATTTAAATATTTAATGAATGTAAACGAAGAAGTTACAATTCATAGACCCAACGTTTCGACATTCCTCTCTAGTGCCTTCATCAGGGGTGATCTAAACGCTGCAACAAGAGGTCCTTTTATACGATCACTAATTAGCTACCTTTTTTTTTCTAACGAGGTGCAAATAAGCGTCAGCAAGTAAGCCACCATCATTAAGGGAGCGTGGGCGGAGTTAATATGCCAAGCCTCCAAACAAAGGGGGCTGGTGGTAACGCCGATTAGTGGTGATAATTTTAGACTTATACCACTCAATTGTATGGTTAGTTAGGCATGTGTGCTCCGGTAAAGTTGAATTTTCTCTTTTGCAAAAGAAAACTGCTTTTTTATGCTCTTTCAAAAGTGTACCAAACTGACGTTCTTACGAGTTAGCAAAAGAGAAAATTCTTGGAATTTAACAGAACGCTTTAATAGGAGAACAACACGCTTAGGAATGGGAACTTAGAGTTCATTACTGCATATTAATCTGTGCCCCGGTATTCACAGGCGCTGGTCATCTTAAAATCTAGGCAATGACCTCGTACGATTTTAATTTATAATTTACTTGAAAATTTCATGTGTGTTTGAAATATTCTATTCAAAAAGCATTCAAAGAGCAGCTGAAAAGGGAAGTGATGCCTTTCACAAAATGATTCTTCGTTTTTTCGACCTATTCTTTATAACTGCACGTAAAAACCTTGCTTTTTAGCCTGCGCTTCAGAGCATCGATGGCGTTTTGTGACCGAAGACGATCAAACCCGAGCTTAGAACACATAGCTCCCACAAGGCGAATAAGTAATCAATCGCTCAAGGCAAATAAATACACGCTTAAAAAAAGACAATCAATCAGCCTAAGGGCCATTATATTCCAAAAGTTATAGAGCAACGTGTTAGTTTCGCATCATGCTCTTTCCAGTGACGCTATCGTTTATTTGTCACGGCTGACACCGACAGAGGAGTAGTCGAGGGTTCGCCTTCTGCTCAAGAGAATCATTTTCATACCAAGAAATATCATTTTCTTCACTTAGCCGGTTGTGTATGAAAGGCCGTGACCACAGTAACAGTACACCTAAAGGTAAAACGGCAGTAACCTACCCCTTCAATCCTAGAGGCAGTCTGCAACTGGTTTATATTTTACTGATTATTGTATATTTCAGGTCTATGATCTGTGGATATCTTTTCGACCGATGGCTTCCAAAATTCAATTCAGGCTGTTATAATCGTCTGTTTCTGCTGTGTTATGCTATCTACTTGCTTAAAAGTCAACTTTGTGAGATACTGTGGTAAGACCAAAATTATTTTACTCGTTTGTGCCTAAAGAAAAGCGCAAATGTGACCTTTGTTATATCGTTTCGCACACAGAATAGTGAAACTGAATGTTATATTTCGGAAGGTGTTTTGGCCATTTAAAAATTGGTGGGGCAGCACAAGAAAACTTGGTTTTATCAAATGAGTTGATGATGTGAATTGGCCACCACAGAGCCGGATGGCAAAGCCGACATTTCGAGCTTTGAAATCAAAAAAAGTTTATTTCTACCTCCTTAGATATTCCATTCCGTTACAGGTCCGGCAGATAAAACGTTCGCGTTTAAAATTACCCCTTGGCCAGTGATAAAACCTGGTGATGTTCTCAATCTAAGTTTCAAGCTCACTCCTTGTAAGTTTTAAACTTTGTTCTTAGCCCAGCTGTTTTAAAAGATGGTATCTGTACAATTTCCTAATCATCTAGCTGTACTTAAGGTATTTCCCACATACCTCGAGCCATAGTCAGTATTTCCGCAGTGTTCATTCACGAGAATCTGTCGGGAAAAACCTTCGGGTTTTCGTAAATTACCTAGTTACCTGCAATATTCTGAGCTTACGTATGCATCCTGTCGATTTTTAATGTCAACATTGATTCCCTCCTGCAGGCATCTCCTGCATGCGAATTTAAACCAATGATGTCAGTTAAATGTGATTCATTTTTTAATCATCTTAAAAATTTTACATACAATACATGCAACTTTATTTCTGATTAAGCTATATTTTTCTAAAGCTGTAGACGTTTTTTATTCAACACTCCGTGCTCGCATTACCTCGAAGGAAGACCATCAAGTGTTGGTTGATCGTGTGATGAATTTAGGATGCAAGCGCATCAAACTACTTTGCAACCTGGCGGCAGGAGGTTTGTATGTAAAATCGAAATGATTTTTTCCTCTAAAAGTTGCCAAGATTTTGCTGAAGATTAATTATTGGAATTCTGCCACCTTAGATATTTCAGTTCTAGATTCGTGTCATCTTTAGGCTGTCTACGATGTGAAATGACGCTTTGCAATAACGTTCTAAGAGACTCACTGGTTAAAGACTCGTACAAATATACAAGATACACCCCTAGTAAACATAATGGCCAAAACTAGGGCATGCTCGATGGATCAAATCTTGCCGGATGGGCACCGAATTTCCCGCGCACAGATTCTAAGGAAAACATAGGAAAAGAAAACTACCGTCTCACAAAATAAGCAGAGGGAAATTGAAATGTTCACAGGAATCTGTAAGAGGAAGCAAAGGAAGGGAAAAGGAAAACTCGAGACTTCGAACACCAAGTTTACTCAAGTACGGGCATCCTCAGTGTCGATTTAAGAGGCTGTCTCTCTTATTTCCACCCGGTCAATTTTGCGTCAAAAATAATTTTGCCTGAAACTCTGTTAACAGAAAGACTTTACCTAGGAAAGAACTAAATTAGATTTGGTTTGATTCGAAATAATTTTCTGACTGCATTACGGGCCATAATTATTTCCCAGTCCGTAGGGACCGTCGCAACGTCTCGAAAATTGAAAAATAGGCATATTTTGTAACGTTGTAAAATATTTGATTCGCATAGTTAAGCCACAGAATTTATATCAGATTGCTTAAAATCCTTTCTAGTTTGCCAAGAAAGTTAGAATTTGCCCTCTCAACAAATTTGAAAAGGCGAATTTTAGCATATTCTGACCACTAGAAATCGCCATCGGCCGATGGCCGTAAATAACCTTGATTTAGACGCTAAGTT